GCTAAAGGAATGAAAATAAAAAATAATGAGATATTATCCAATTACAGTTTTTTTCATTGGAGTTACAATGATTTTAATTCAGTAATAAAAAACATTGTAATTTTATTAAAAAATATTGTAAGTAAAAAACATTGGAACTTTATTGAAAAATATTATATCCTCGATCAGTTTTAATCCAAATTGGGTCTTGATAAAAAAAAATTTATTCTTTTATGAATATTTTGGTTCTTTTACAAAGAGAAGAGATTCTCTCTGGGAAATATAGAAATGAGAGACTGTAATCCGAGAAAAGCCCAAAACCTATGGTTTATTTAAAAAGATCACCTTGATAGAAAGCTAGGAGATAGACATATTTTATTATTCTATTATATGTGTTATGTAAATTAGCAGATTTATTACCAGTATTTTTATTTATCTGGATATATAATAATAATAATAATAATAAAATAAATAAAAATAAAAAACCAAATATCCTCTTTTTCAGAAATATATAAAGAACTTAGAGGGAAAATAGGGGCAATTAAACTTCTGATTCATATGTAGCCCAGCCGGGCCGGTTCAGACGACGCAGGTTCAATTAAAATGGTTCAACCCAACTGTTAACCAAATCACAATCTCTAACCCGACCCACACAGGCTTGAGTTCAATTAGAGCAAACGGGGGCTCTAAAAGCCCTAACTCTCAACTGGACGGGGATAGAACGCTCCCCCAAATCTCTGCCCGACGTGTCTATGTCCTGACCATCTCCACCGGCCCTGAGCAGATCTGGACGGTCAACCGCGGCGGCTCTTCTCCGGCCTCCAGGTACCTCTCCCTCCCTCTCCGTGTGTTTTCGTGCCCTTCATCGGTGGTTCTGTTGTTCCCTTTTGTTTTATAGGTTTCGGTGATCTGTAATCGTAATCTGTTTGATGAATGGGATGGGCTAGCTTCTTGGTTTGGGGATTTTGAAGGGTTCCTTATCTGCCTCTCTGAGCGCATCAGCTCCTAGGATTCCCGTGGTTCAATTACTTGATATGTATCTGACTACATATGGAGACTGATCTTTGTTATGTAAAGGTTTCATATCTTGAACTTTTATGGTGTTTGTAACTTGTGAAAAGGCGGTGTGTCCCCAACACAGATTGCTGGTGCATATCACATACTTATTACGTGTCATTTTTAAACCCATTTCAATGATGAACAATAATAGAGAGCATTTACATCGTGCATATGGTTAATTATTTCTCCAAAACTTATTTGTTGTCCTCTTGGGTGTAGCTGGTGAACTTTGTGGAATGATGGCTTTTTAGTAAATTTCGTAATATCAACCTTCCTTTTTTTTCTTTGTTAGAGAAAAATGGTGCATATCTTTTTATTCTTTTTGGTTTATCATGCTTACTTATTAATTTGATTGATGCTTCTAAGGTTCCAATATCTTTTGCTTTTACTTTGACATTTCAGAATGATATATCATATTTCTTTTGTCCAATTTTAGTAATTGCATTATACATTAAATCATTCTTACGTTAGGTGCCACATATGTTAATTGTTGCAGTAGTATTTTTCCACGAAATCAACTCTTATCTACATGGAATGCTAATTAATGCTCAAAAGGCCTATAATTATACATATAAAGATCCTAGGCCACACGGTAAAACCTTGATCTCTCCGTTACAATTTTTTTGTCCTATTCTATGATTCTCTTAGACTTTCTATCATGAATTGTCATCTTGTACTGACCATGCATGTTGGTCCTTGACCCAGACCAATATGTACCGACTAATATCGGTGTATCAACATATAGTACTTGGTGCGCACTGAGGACTCAAAGAGGAAGGAGGGTGGAAGAGGAAGGAAGATGAGGAGATGATGAAGTTAGAAGTAGTAGGAGGAAGGAATAGATGATGGTGGAGGAAAAAGGAGGAAGAAGGAGGGAGGAAGAGGAACGAAGATGAGATGTTGAAGTTAGATGTAGGAAGAGGAAGGAGGAGGAGGAAGAGGAATGGAGAAGAGGTGGTAGTGGTGGAAGAATAAGCACGAAGAAGAGGAGACAGTGGAGGGTGAGGAGGAAGAGAAAGTAGGATGAGGAAGTGGAAGCGGTGGAGGAAGAGGAAGGAAGAAGAGGAGACGGTAGGGGAAGAGGAAGAGGTCAAAAGAGGAGGAAGAAGGAAGAAGAGTAGTAGGACAAAGAGGAGGAGGAAGTGTGCTCGAAATCAATGGCGGGCAGCAATGGGGCCAACAGTGGCTCACAGGCTTTGTGTGTACAGAGAAGAGGGTTCGCGAACAAGAACCCTAAACTAGATGAGTGAATAGTTTTTTTCTTTTTTTAATAGGTCAGACCAGACCATCTGAAATGGTGGCGGTCTGCATACCTAGTTCATGTCCAGGCTGATATGTACTACCTGTTTCATATTGGTCCAAGCGAAACCGTAGTCTATGCTTTCTACGTTATTAATTACTAACTGTGGATTTGGTTTCCTTGTTTTCTTTGTGCATGTGGTACTTCTTTTGCTAACATTTGTATTTCACCTGACAACCAATCCTTGTCATTGTATATGTAACTGGGAACCAACATTCATTAAAGTCCAATCTGTGTTACAGCACCACACTTAGAACAGTTTTGAAAAGTTAAATTAACGAAAGTCATTCAATTAATGTCATAATGTGGAAAATTCTTAACTGGAGATCCTTTAGTAGACCTAGTTATAATGGATTGCATAGTTTCAGCTATGAATTGAACCCACTCCATCTCCACTGCTTTGGGAGTCATCACTGCTGCAATTTCTTGCTGAAACACCAACAAATATCATAACTTTAATTTTCCCACTTTTTGTTTGGTGATAGGACAATGATGTACAAGTGTTAGTATGATAAGGATCATAATGATCAAGGCAGGTTATTTTCCTTGTGATTTGTATTTACCTTTGATGTGATTGTTTTTCCATGAAAATGAAATTGAATATATGTGTTCTTTTCTGACCTCAGGATCATCTTGTTAACATGATGTGTGTAATTTATCTGATGCTTACAGCTGTTTTTTCAGTTACCTTCTTAAATCTCATTTTCATCTTGACAGATGATTGACATAATTTCAGCCGTTGGCGAGTTAAATGGTCTTTCTTCTCAAGACTTGAACAAGTTGTTGAAAGATTCCGAGAACTTCACCATACAATGCAAGACAGAACAAGGGTCCTTGAAGCAGGCAAATTTCTACTCGCTACAGTTTTACTAGAACTAAAACTAGTTTCTGGTTACTACTTTCTAATTTTGTTTCCTTTTCAGATCAATGTGGAAAAACTTGCGGCTTCTCTCCCTTTGCACCTTATTGCGACACTGCTATCACCTGATAGGGACATGCGCATGGGACATGTGCTTCGTGGCATTCGCCTTTTGTATACACTGTCTGATTTAGCTACACGCCATGCCAGACTGGAGCAGGTTTTTATCTCATTAAATTCTCTATCTATTTTATCATAACAAAGAAACAAATGAATAATAAAGAATACCACACGATTTCTTTTCATTTGGTTCTTTTTTGCTTGCTTCATATTTCAAGATTGTACTACATGTTCTAATTATACTGAATAATTATTTGACCTATGGTAGTCTATGAACAATTAGTTGGAATTTTGTGTATTTATTACCAAGGATGAAAATCATGGCACATATCTCATCTTTGGAGTAATCTGAAAGGGTAATTTCTGGGCATGTACCCATGGTTTGCAGAAATTTAAATATAAAAAAGGAACATCTACAGTCACCAGCATCTTGCCACAATCTTTATGACAGTTTCCATATTCCATGCTTGGAAATTATAAGTGCTATCTATTATATCTTTGTTTGTTCTACTAAATACAATAAGGGATGTAAGTAGAAACTATTTTAGTCTTGATATCTGTAAAAATTCCCATAACTACAATCTGTTGCACATACTTTTGTTACTGCAATTATGTCACATGTTCCATAGATATCCGGATATTGATAACTGAGGTTAGATATTTGGATGGCAGTCTGTGGTTCACTAGTTGATCTGTCACTGACCTTGTGTTGATGAGATAATTTGTGCAATACTCTCATTTGCAAACCTGCAAAATTAAGTCAGCTGTCTTGACACTCTCAAAGGCAAAGTGCCTTAGCCACTTGTGCAAAATGCACAACTTTGGTACACAAAGGGAGGACACACACAATTGCATGAAAACTTGGATTTTATTGCTCAAATGGGAAGCTTACTATATACTACAATTACAGTGGTGTTGCAAGGGTCCAAGAGAAGAAAAGGGGAATACTTGTCATCCAAAAATTTCACACCCATGTGAATTAGCCTGCTTAATCATCAAAAGCTCCACAACCTTTGTTGGGACTGGCTCTACATGTGTGCGGAGTTTTTGGTTGATAGTTTTTTCTTTGCCTACTCTTGGTACCCTTGCCTGCTCTTGTCAATAATGTTCCTCCATCTTCAGTGCAACTTGTATGATTTTCTGTTGTCCACCAAAATATGTTTTCTAATGATTAAGGTACTTTGCCCTTGTGATCATACAAGTAGGCTAACTTCTTTGGCATGAATTATTTAGATAACGTTAAATATGTGATGGTTAAGTCCATATGATAATGACATCGATTGAACATAGCTGGAATTAGTACTGAAGCATCAACTGGGTTGGGGTGGATCTGAAATAGGTATTTAACATTGATAAACATTTTTATCATGGTTCGCTATGTCGACCTGTATCGGGTGGTATAGGTGGTACGTAACGGTCCAACAGGGGACAAGGACACGGAGCACCCTATATCGGGCAATTTATTACAAGATACCTCGTATCGCTTGATACAGAGTTTGTACTAGTTGAAATGGTCAAAATCCAACCGTTATCGACTTGTATCGGTTGAAATGGTCGAAATCCAACTGTTATCGATTTGTACCGGTTGGTAACGTCAGATTCGATCGATACCAATCAATGGTTCGGATTTGTTGAATTCAAACGGTTTGAACTAGATCTAAGGGCTTTTAAACCCTTTTCACCCCCTCATTCTCACTTTCACTCTCTAAATCACTTTACCACCATCAACCTCCTCTTGCCCGATGGTAAGCCTTCTGACCCCAACTTCGCCTCCGTAAGTTGAGTCGCCTTGGTTCATCTGTCAAATGCCTCGCCGAGATAAGGTGCATGTGCCTTGAAGCTTTATTCGACTTTGGCACAATGCAATATGAGTCCGCTCCATCAGAATGAGGGACCCATGGAACGACATGATCTCACTCTTGCTTCTGCAAGAGTTTATATCCTTGATCTCTGTCCAAAGAAAATTTATGCTTTCGCTCTATGTTTTGTCTTTTATGCCGACTTCTTTCATGCGGTTTGGCCACTTCGCCAAGTTCCACCCAAGTTGCTCCGCTCCTCGGTTTGCATTGAGTTGATGGTAGCCCTTGTGCCTATCATTCACGGGTTAGCCCTTCGTTGAGTCCGATCTCTACATCAACTCTAAGTGTGTATTTGTTTGGTGCTGCCTAGGATTGCTCTCCACTTGACCTCACGATACGTCCATCAACGCATTACCTCGTGCAAGATTATACGACGACTCCTTGCTGCTCACTTGGTCCGTTGAGTTTTATGGAGCTATCATTTTGAGGTACCCCTCAACACATGTAGTCCGTTGCACATGATTCTCCCTTTGGAGAATTGAGACTTGTTCCTCCCGATATCTGTCCTATTGGAGCAACTTTTCTCTTCGCATCCTTCCCTCTGAAAGTTTTGGAAACCACTATCCCCTTGGATTACTCTGCCTTGTTGAACAAACTATGTATTGTTTCGTCATCATGAACCAACTTGCTAGATTACGACTCTTCGCCAATACAACCCTTGCTACGCCCCTCAAGGCTTACCAACACGCTAAACTTATTGCACACTTTAGCCTCCTACGGATGTATCCTTTTTATGCTGAAGAGAAAGTTTCAATGCCTCGTGGTGTCGAGTTTCGGTCGCCTTGGGATGGCCATGGACAGTCTATCGTCTGCATACAAGCCCTTGTATGTGTATCGAATTCTTCTATCTCTAAATATTTTCACATCTATAACATTGTTTTTAAGATCCTTATCAGTAACAATTCTTACACCATTTCTTTGTTTAACTTTTTCAAAATACTAAATTTTAAATCTGGCACTATCAATCTCTCTAGATTTTCCCCCTATCTACTTAAGTCTCTTGTAAGTAAATAATATTTATTCCTCTTCTGATCATAGTGTTTGCCAATTTTAATCCTTTCCCTAAAAGTCTTCCTGTATTCCAAGTTGCTAATTGAACCCTTTGTTCTTGGACTAACTTCTTTACTCCTATTGGTCCAAAACAATCAGAGAACCCTTGTTTACTTGACACCATATCTGAGCGCCGATGTGATGGGCCGCTTTCGGGCGACCTTCTAACCCATGGTTTGCAATTCGGGACACCTAGGTGTGAATGTGCCTCGTGCCACTTTCGGGTGACGACCTAGCTTTATATTGACATCGGTTAATGTAACACCTTGATTAGTCCCACATCGGAGGTGGACAAAACTAAGATTGGCTTATAAGGGTTCGATGGGTGTACTGTCATCAACTTTAGCTTAAGTATTATGACCAGTGGTTTAGATCAAACGAAGTTGATAGGCTTGACATTTGGTATCAGAGTTGACCTGGTATTGAGACATGGTGAGGGGGCTCGAGTAGGAAAGAGCTACTTGTGAATAGAGTCAGAGGACTCATCACAGTGTTGAGCCACCTTGGGTGACGTCTCACATGCACCATGCTAGGGTTTGATCTAGATTATATTGGGTTTTGTCGAGGGGTCTTGTCGAGAACGTCAAGTCCTTAAGTGAGGGAGATTATAACATCCCGATTAGTCCCATATCGGAAGTGGGTAAGACTAAGATTGGCTTATAAGGGTCTGATGAGTGTACTACTACTATCAGCTTCAACTTAAGTATTTTGACAAGTGGTTTAGGTCAAACGAAGTTGATACGTCAGTTGTCCCATCAGGCCAGGTCGTGATAGTTAAGATCTAGGTTCATGTGATCTGGCATAATTTTACGTTGGTTGTCAGTGACCTAATGCAACCCTCCATCTTTTTCATCTAAGCTTGGGCCCGACATTGGCGGTTTTACGCTGCTAACGAAAAATGCCCTTTACAAAGGTGGTCTTATTGATAAACCAAGAGTGTTATTTGTTTTCTATGGAAGGTGAAACATAAAGAAAGTTATTATTAGAGTGGAACTTCATTAAACAAGGTGCATCTGTTCTCCAAATTTCTAAACGCAAACCACCTTTCCCGACTCTTTTTAAGCCTTGGTGACAGACAATAGATGAGAAGGAACAACAATTCTTTGAACAACACTTACGAGTTACGACAAAGGCCCACATTACTTTTTGAACTTTAAGTTGAAGTATTAATTAACAATGATTTTTGAAAAATTCAATAAAATCTTCTGATTTATGAGATTAATCATTGAAAGCATAGAATTGCAAGATCATATAAACCAGATGTGGAGAGTAAGCTGAGGGGAATGAGAAGAATCTGGCCATACAGTATTCACCAAATATTACCGATGAACAACTATGAAGCAATATTCAGTAATATAGTGAAAGAACATTAAGTAGTTATTCCATGCTGACCTGCTATCGTGACACAAATGGTATAGTGGTTGGACTTGTTCATTTGAATGATTCTGCAAGTGATTTACTCCATTGGCTCTGTAGTAATATTCCATGCATATGGCACCTACACCTGAGTTTCTGCAGGTATACTTACTGTATACAGTGAACTACAGTTTACTTTTTTAGACCCTGTCTAGCCAGAAACTTTTGTCACCCAAAAAGTAGTAAGTTTTTGCACTGTTTATGTGGATTACTATTATTTTCTGTCACCAATAGATTCTTTGTAATATCATACTTTTACTGATTATTGATGCTTCTTTACTTCCTTTTATTGATATTTTCACCAGTGATATACCAATGATTATGTTCATTATAATGGGTGTAGCTTTTAATACTTTATCCCATCTCTCCAGATTCTGCTTGATGATGTAAAACTATCTGAACAGATAATGGATCTGGTACTCTATATGTTGATTGTTCTTGCATGCCGCAAGCAGGTGAAACTTTCTCTAATCACCTACCACGGACCAGTTAATTTTCTTACAGTTGAGATATAAAAAATCTCTAATATTGTGGTTTATCATTCAGGATAATCATATTGGGTCTTCTCCTGTTCTGCACTCAACACTTGTTGCTTGCAGCCTTCATATTTTGACAAGTTATCTTTCATCTCAGTGGCATGATCTTGTGCATGTTCTTCTTGCGCATCCTAAGGTAGAACGTGATATTGTGTGTATAGATTTTATAGATGCTATTATTTGTTTCTCCTTAGTTTATGCAGGACTTAGCTAATGAAGATTATCTTGCAATACCAGTATTCTTTTATTTCGACAAGTGAAATTTGTCATCCATTGGCCTGCAAAGTAAAGACTACCCTCTTGACTTGCATGGATTGTTTCTTCTACCATCTTTTTTTTGTATAAATTGAGAAAGTTTTGTATCATGAGGGATACTACTTGAATCGCACTGAAGGAAATTGAGGGCGATAAGTGGCCCGTCTTCTTATTTCTGTTGCTGTAATTCATGGACTGTTAGGGCTTGACTTAGGTACCTTAATACTCCAAAGAGGTGTGTTTGCCGAGAGGGATCAATATGTATGAGGAGACATACTATTTGAAGAGCGTGAGAGGAACCACCTTTCTGAATCCATTTGCGAAGGACATATATATTTGCTAGTGTTATAGCCTTATGAGTGATTAGTGGCTTTGTATGCGTCTAAATGGTCAAAGAATGAATTTAAAAGAAAATTGGGTTGCTGCAATTTGCGGAACAGACTGTTTAGCCTAAAAGGAGAAAGATAATACATGAAAATACAAGATATAAATGAAGAGGAAAGGGAAAACAAAAAAACATAAGAAAACGAGAAAAGAGTGGATAACTACAACCAAAGAACTAGACAATGGTAGTGATGTAGTTGCAATGAAGTGTGTAAACTGCAAGAGGTGTTGTGACATGAACAAATTAGAAGATACTGCTAATCTTCAGATTGATAGGATTTTATAACACTTAGGTTGACAGAGGATTATTGCCCAATAATCTTTGTTGTTCCAGTTGTAATTTTGAACTTTATGGATATTTTGCTAGCCAATGGTTCATTTTATTGGTTGTGGTAGAGCTTCATTATTTTCTCTATATTACCATGCCCCAGAGTTGTGCAGTTATTTCATTGTCCATCTGATGTCTCTGCCCACTTTTTTCATTTTATATTCGTCTAGCTTTGTTTAATTTATTTCATTTGTTGCTTTTCCATTAAATTAGTATTCATTTTCAGGTAGACATATTTATGGATGCAGCTTTTGATGCTGTGCATGAAGACATCAGGATTCTAGGAATCAAGCTACAACTGTTCAACAGTGAATTATTGAGCAACAAGTCTAATCTTCCTGCAGCTGAACGAACAGCTCATTACATCTGTCAGCAATGTGAGGCTTCCTTGCAATTTCTTCTGTCCTTGTGCCATCAAAAACTGTTCCGAGACCGCCTTCTAAGGAACAAGGTTGTCTATTCTAGGAGGTGCATACTTTTTATGCAACATTTTCTCCAATGCAGTCTATTTGTAGAATATATTCCATATATAAGCATTCCAAATAGTGCTAAGATATTGACCATCCAACCATTGTTCCCTTGCTATCAAAGGATGTGATAAGAGTGGCTTAGTGTTACCTTCTAGCTCTCTGCCAGTAAAGATTACTTGAGTGTTGCACGCTTGCTGACTAAAGAATTGAATCCTTCACACTGGATCAACTTACAAAGTGACCTTTGACTTTTTTCATAATACACAACTATTTTCTTCTTTTTTCTTTTGCTTTTTACCTCTACTATTCAAGTGTGAAGCCATTTCATAAGGAATTACTGAAGTATCTAGTGGCAGAGCAGGAATTGTGTAAACATGGTGGCATACTTTCGCTGGCTTATTCTATCTTGAAGTTAAACATTTCACATTGTTTTAAGAATTCCTTCGACTTTGTGGCTGCTGTATCTAGGTTGAAGGCCAAAATTCTGTCTATTGTAAGTCTAGACCAACCACATTCTCTCCTCTAATTTTAATCTTAGATGAGTATTAAATTTAAATTAATTCTCATTATTAGTTACACTATGTGCAGTTGTTGCAGCTTTGTGAAGCAGAGAGTATTTCTTATCTCGATGAAGTTGCTGGTTCTCCAAAAAGCATGCACCTGGCAAAATCAGTTGCAATAGAGGTTAGTTTTGTGAAATGATTTTTTATTTCTCCTGAATTCGATCTATTCCTGATTGATTGGTATGTCTTGATAGTTTCTTGAGATACTGAGGATTGCATTTAGAAGTGAAGTTAGGCTACTTGGTGATACACAGTACAAGAGTAACCCAATGGGCCTGCTGCTTCTTAATGCGTTGCGTTTAGCTGACATATTTTCGGATGATTCAAATTTTCGATCATTCTTTATGTCTAAAAGTGTAAGACTTTGTACTTTTATTTTCCTTTTGTTATAGAAACTGCCTTGTGACAAATTTGTTCACTTTTCCAGATTCCAGTTCTTGCTGAAATTTTAGCAGTTCCCCATGAAAATTTTTCATTAAACTGGTGCTCTTCAAATATACCAGTGACAGAGGAAGATGTGAATATTGAATATGATCCATTTAATGCAGCTGGCATGGCATTGGGTTCTCTTAATGATGCCAGTGAGAGTGTTCATTCAGCAGCTTTTCTGCTGCCTGAAACTAATTCCACATGTCCTATTAATTTCAGTGGCATGCCATCAGCTACATATGCTCAGCAGAGAACGTCATGTTTGGTCAAAATAATAGCAAACCTGCATGTTTTTGTTCCCAATATATGTGAAGGTTGTATTTTGTACCGTAGTTTTTTACAAAATTTATATTTTGATTATAGTAGTAGATAAAATATCTAAAGTTCATGTAAACCAAGTTCTTTTCTATTATAAAAACAGAAGAAGAAAGAGATCTTTTTCTCAACAATTTCCACAAGTATTTGGTTATGAAGAGCCCAGAATCATCTGGAGATCACTCTAGTTTTGACATGCAGAAGGCTGCAACAGTCTGTAAAAACTTAAGTAATTATGTTTTCTTATGCTTTTATTTTGTTCTTCCAAAGATAGCTTGCTTAGTTAAGTACTCTCTGAACCCCTTTAATCATTCATGTGAATCTCAGGTTCACTTTCCCAGTATGCTATCTCTTTGACGCCAAATTTTTTGATTGATGAGGATGTACACCTCCTAAGGTAATTGAAATTTGTGTTTATGTCTTTCTTTTTTCAACAGAAAGGGAAACAATCTGGGCTACTGAATTGATGTGTAAAAAAAAAATCATCAATTTGAGACCTAAAAAATTGTCCACTTATGAATTAGATATCTTTTGACTGCATGCCCTTATTGTTTTACCAATCTTGCTGTGGACCTGTTTCAATTTGTACATGCTAGACATCATTTGATAGTGTTAGCATAATTGTTTGTCTAGATGAGAATAAATATGCTCAACCTTCTATTAGGAGGATCTCTGCCTTCAAATTAGAGAACATTTCCTCATTTTAACAACTCGTGAATTGAGCACATGTTTTAGTTCATTGCAATTTGGACTTGGTTTCTATATCATGATTACTTTCTGTATTCATGCTTGTGCTGATTTTACCATTTTTTCTTCTCTGATTTGATTTTGTACAGGCTGAAATGTAGTACACTGTACACATACTAAAAGGCTCTTTCCTTTCAATCTCTCTCAACTTGTTTTGTGTGAGCAGTACCATTGTGTGCTGAACACCATGAGACTTGCCTAGATGAAGGCCCACCGAAAATGGCTGGTGGCATTTATATATGTGGCACTTTACCCTGGTTTCTCACTATGAATTTAAATTTATTTCTTCCTTTTTTGGTAAATTATCCAAATGCTTAACTTTGGGATATAAGTTTTTTTTGTCCTTTTGTTAATTTGTTCTTTTTCTTGCAACACTGCCAATGTCGGTCCTAAGCTTGGATGAAAAAGGTGGAGGTTTGCGTTAGGTCACTGACAACCAACGTAAAACTATGTCAAATCTCATGAATATGGATCTTAACCGATTTCATTATAGAGCAGGTCGTCACTCGGAAGTGATGCGAGACATCTTAACTACCTAAGTGTCTTGAATTGCAAATGGTGGGTTAGGAGTTCGTCCGGAAGCGACCCATCACATCAGTGCTTGAATGTGATGCCAAGTAAGCAAGAGTTATCTCATTGTTTTGGACCAATGGGAGTAAAGAAGTTAGTACAAGATCGGAGGGTCAGATTAGCAAGTTAGAATATAGGAACACTTTTAGGGAAAGGATTAGAATTGGTAGACACTATCATCAGAAGAAGAATTAATATTATTTGCTTACAAGAGACTAAGTAGGTAGGGGTAAAATTAGAGAGATTAATAGTTCTGGATTTAAAATTTGATATACTGAAAAAGTTAAACACAAAAATTGTGTAGGAATTATTGTTGATAAGGAACTTAAGAACAATATTGTAGATGTAAAATTTTTGGAGATATAATTATAATTCTAAAATTTGTGAAAGGATAAGATGTTTGAATGTCGTTAGTGTTTATGCCTCCCAAACCAAAAGAGAATTTTGGGAAAGCTTAGATAATATCATTTAAGGAATATGTATAATCGAAAAACTTATAATTGAAGGATATTTGAATGATTATGTAGGAAAAACATATTTTTAATCTAAAGGGGTGCATGGGGGCTTTAGTTATGGGGAGAGAAATGAAGATGTTGGTATAGTTTTACAACTTTGTATAATCTTATAATTGTAAATACTCATTTTAAGAAGGGATAAACATTTGATTATTTATAAGAGTGGTCACAACTCACAACTGTAGTCAAATAAACTTTTTTCTCATTAGAAAGGTAGGAAAAGTTATTTGTAAGAATTGTAAAATTATAAATGGCGAAAGTTTGACAAATCAACATACGTTGATAGTATTAGATATTTACTGTAGAGAATGAAAAAGAAAAAAATAATAGAAAATTTTACTAAGACTAGATGGTGGAATTTTAAAGATGATAATATAGAGATTTTTAAAAATTGGATGGAAAAAAAGACGACTTGGAACTTAAATGTGGATAATATTAATATTATTTGGACTACGATGGCTAATATGATTAGGAGCTTAAACAAGGTAATTCTTGGTGAAACTAAAAATAGAAGTGTAACATTAAAAAAGAGTTAGTGGTGGTGCAAGGAAGTTCAAAAATAATTTTTACTAAAAGATCATGGTTTAAAGATTGGTAAAATTGTAAAAATGAGAAAAAAATTAAAAGCTATAAAGAATCTAAAAAGTAGTTAAAACAAAATTAGTATGGCAATATATAAAACTTATTATAATTTTTATAATAAATTAGGTACTAAAGATTATAAAAAAGATATATATCTAATTGCTAAAGCTAAGCAAAGAAAGTGTAAGAATTTTGATAATATTAGATGCGTTAAAAGCGAAGATCAAAGGATACTTTTTAATGATAATGAGATTAAGAAAAGATGATAAAAATATTTTTATAAATTATTTAATGAATATTCACATGACTTAGATTTAATGAAAATAATAATGGTAGATTTAATAATCATATAAATGTTTGTAAAATTAGAGTTAGTGAAATAAAAGACGTATAAAAGAAGATGAAAATAGCCGAGGGTGTGGGACCTAATATTATCCCTATTGAGGCTTGGAAAAGTTTAGGGGACAAGGGAGTAGTTTGATTAATTAGCTTATTTAACAAGACCATGAGATTTAGAAAGATACCTAATGAATGGAGAAAGAATATTTTAATGTTAATTTACAAGAATAAGAGTGACATACAAAATTGTTTAAATTATAGAGAAATAAAAAACATGAGCTATACTATAAAACTTTGGGAAAGAGTTATTGAATTTAGGATAAGGCTTGAAAGAAATATATTTAAAAATCAATTTGATTTTATACTTGAAAGATCAACCATAGAATCTATTCATTTATTAAGACAATTAATGGAAAAGTATAGGAAGAAAAAGAAAGATTTATATGTGGTTTTTATTGATTTAGAGAAAACCTATGACAGAGTTCCTAGAGATCCATCATGGTGGGTTTTAGAAAAAAAAAAAAGTGTATCCATTAATTATATTGATGTTATTAAAGATATGCATGATAATATAGTTACTAGTGTTAGAACTACAAAGAGTGTGTCTAGTGAGTTTTCTATTAGCATAGAATTACATTAATGATTTACATTAAGTCCTTATCTTTTTATATTGATAATGGATGAACTTACAAGTCACGTACGTGATAGACCTCTCTGGTGCATGTTATTTTTTAATGATATTGTCTTATTTGATGATAGCCTAAGTGGAATTTATTATAAACTTGAGCTATGCAGGTAATCCCTACAAACTAAAGGTTTTAGATTAAGTAGGGCTAAAATTGAATATATGTGGTATAATTTTAGTAATTTTAAGAATAAATAGAAGAAAATAGTTAAGTTGGATGGACAAGAAGTCTCTTTAAGTAAAAACTTTAGGTATCTTGGATCAAGTATTCAACAAGATATAGAGATCAATGAAGATATTATTCATCGAGTAAAAACAGAATGGTTAAAATGACAAAGAGTATTAGGGGTCTTATGTGATCATCGGATACTTTTGAAATTAAAAGAAAAATTTTATAAGACAGTTGTGAGACCAACGATGTTTTATGGATTCGAGTTTTGGGTATTTAAGAAACAACTTATACAAAAAGTTTGTGTTACCAAGATGAGAATGTTGAGATGAATGTGTGGAGTTATTAGGAAAGATAGAAAAAAAAAACTTATTTATGAACAATTAGGTATCGTTTCAATAGAGGATAAGATGAGACAAAATTGTTTAAGATGGCATGGACATGTGCTTAGGAGACTTCCGGATGCGATCGTTAGAAAAGATGAAATGATTGATGTTGGTGATACGAGGAGAGATAGAGAAAGATCTAAAAATATTTTAATAGAAGTTATAAATAAAAATTTAAGTATTCTGAACTTAACTAAATATATGATTTTTTACAGATATCAATGACAACAAAAGATTCATGTAGTCGATCCCAAATAGTTGAAACTTACGACTTTGTTGTTATTGTTGTTCTTTTTCTTGCATATTTTTGTAGTGCTTGTTCCTGTTTTTGTTGTCAACGCAGAAACAACACCTGAGCATACCTTGTGTCAGCATGGTAGTCCTGCTACACTTAAGGATGAGTAAAAGTACCAGTACTGGAAATGCAAACCTTGATCTATCCTTTGCCATTTGATGTTTAACATGACAATCTCTTTTGAAATGCTTACTACCAAATTGAGGTTAAGAAGATAGATAATTTTCTTTTGCTTGAGTCATTTTGCTACCTTTTTTCCCTCCTTGGATCATGGCACCATGATCATCTTACAGTCTTAGTACCCTCTAAATTTTCAATGATTATCAAGCACAAAGTTCATGAGGCTCAGCGGAAAAGCTTAATATATTTTCACTTGTCAGCATTGTATGTCCCTATCATGGCAATTTTAAGAAACATCAGGCCTTCTATGAAAGTTGGGGGAATCCTCATCAGAACATGCTCATTCAAGTTAGGATGCAACTTCAGGAAGTGCTTGGCTTTAAAAGGGTCTTGACACTTCGACAAAATGATTTCACATATGAACCTGCTCTCATATAGGCAGCACAGAACAATAAGGTTTTATTGAAAAACAGCACTGAGAATTTATCCAAAATTTGTAAAAAAATTTCCATGCCTAATTTGGGATGTGTTGTGTTTTTATTGTACTAAAGCAATTCATTTTAAAGTGTTTTCTTGGTATTTTTCATACAGTAAATATGCTGATGAGCTACAGAACTTAACTCATCCAGAAGTTGGAGATAGATTTATTCAGGTATAACAAACCAATTCTTTTCCTCCTACTTATTGGTTCACGTTCATTTGGTTTTGTTTCTTGCTTTCTTAGCATAGACTGTGTTACCCATTTTTAGCTTGGCTACATACCTTACCTTGTTTGAGTAATTATTTAGGAAAATGTAGTCAAATTGGAAGAAGATATGAAACCTGAGTATGGGCCTCTTATGCAGCAATCTTCTCTGTACTGGACTAAATTTCCAAACTCCACTTTCAGTAGAAGCCAACAGGTAGTTTGTAGTTTTATGTTGCAAAATTAGGTAGTTCACCAGAATAATCATATCAAAGTGGCATTTCCCTGTATAGACTGAAATATATAATTAACAGGATACACAGTTTGTTTTGGGGAATGTGCCATCTATTTCAAGAAAACAAGATGAAACTATTCAAGATGATGATCTAAAGCGCAACAGCAATGATGATGTTGATCTAAAACGGAGAGTTGGGGAAAATTCAAGGTGTCAAGAAGTAGAGCAGCTAAAAATTATGAACCACTCAACGACCGGCCTACCAGAGGATTTTGAGGTGAGCCATGACAGAAAGAAGAATATAATCGATCAGCCTGAATACCTGAGAAGTGGAGAGAAAGATACCAATGATTGTGATATGAAAGGTATAGAACTTGATCCCAACTAGATGGATTTTGACTCAATACCTGACAATAGGGAGTTCCCAAAGTCAGAATTTACTAAAGAAAATGTTTCTCACAGAAGATGATAAAGCAGAAAATGGCCTAAGCGAAGAGAAGCAACCAAGGAAGAGAAAGCGGAATATAATGAATGAGACGCAGGTACTCTTGATTGAGAAGGCTCTCCTGGATGAGCCTGAAATGCAAAGAAATGCAGCATCACTGCAGTCATGGGCTGATAAGCTGAGTTCACAGGCATGTACAAATGGTCACTTTTTATTTCATCTAGGTTTTAATCAATGCAAGTATTTATCAGTTTGATGTAGCAAAATATCAAGTTTTTGTTTCTTTCAGGGCTCTGAAATTACATCATCTCAGCTAAAGAACTGGTAAGAATACCATCTTTTCCAGCACTACTGTTAAAGCTACATAAAATTTTCTGTAGTAGAAGCTCTACAGTGTGTTCAACATTGCAAACTTAAGCATTTATTTTAGTGCATGAACATTCGATGTATTTTTCAATTTGTTGATCTGCTTGAATCTTTAATTCTCAACCGCTGATATCTGGAATTTATCATTGGCATAGTTGAAAATTTTTTCTGAGCTGTAACCTCTTGGTATTCAAGGCATTATTTCTGTTGGACTGGCCCTATATCACCACCACCTGTGTCCGGGCCTCATCTCTAGGTTACTTTGTTTCAGCAAGCCATCCAATAGCATTAACAAAACATCTGTTGATGCAGGCTGAACAACAGGAAAGCCAGGCTTGCACGTGCTGCAAGAGAGGTCCGTGCCCCATCCGAAGGGGAGACCTATCCAGATAAGTCCTGTGGTCCGAGCTCTTCTCATTTTTGCGACTCCTCTGAGAGTGCCGGTGAGGAAATTTATGCTGCTCCTGCTAGAGGAAGCACCCACCAATCCATCCCCAAATCTGGTGGTATGATAACACGATCTGCTAGATGTGAGGATGTGGAGATGACTGCTCCTGATTTCGTTCGTGGAGCTCACCAGAACCGCCCTTCTATAATATCTTGTTCATTCGAACCAGGTCAGTTTGTCTCCGTAGTGGATGTGGATGGTAAATTAGTTGGCAAAGGAAAGATCATTCAGGTGGAAGGTAGGTGGCATGGCACGAGCTTAGAGGACAGCGGCACATGCGTTGTGGATGTTACGGAGCTGAAGATCGAGAAGTGGAAGGAGGTTCAACACCCATCAGAAGCAGCAGGAAGGACTTTTGAGGAGGCTGCAGCAAAGAATGGTGATATTATGAGGGTGGCCTGGGACGTAAGCAGGATCTTGGCACTGCCTTAGTTTGCAATAAAGTTGCTGTCTTGGAATTGTGTTAATTACATCTACTAAAGTCTTAATCAGGTTCAAAGAGCAGCAAAAAGCCTGTCAAGATAATTAAGTTAAGAGAATTCATTGTACTCCTATAACTCTTAACTTAGGCCAGTTTTTTCATCATTCATCTAAATTTCACCTCTTTCTTTTCTAACCCATTGCAATATGCCTAAATTTTCAATAGAACTCAAGGGAGTGTTGTGATACAATAGTCATTATTGCTTGGTAACTGTTAGATGCAGTGGTATTATTTCTGCATGATTTAAGCTGCTTTCAAGTTTGTGTACCTTTTAGAACTGCTTCGATGTATTTAAAGTTGATAGCTTCACCCAAAAGTTCATCCTTAGAACTCCATGTAGAGACTGTTGTCATCGTTTCAATTATATTACATACGCATCAGCCAGGCTTGCAGTCAATGAATTCGTCACAAATAAGGAGTTTGTTCCCTGACCTTCTCGTTGCGGAGAAAACCGATAATAAAATCATAAGTATAATTTTATTTAAATATAAGATAATAACCAATTATAGTGTTCGATGCCACTATTTTAGCAGGAAAGAGTAAAGAAATCATAAGATGCGGAACTTTTCTATGGAAATTGCCTGAAGATATCGTTGGCAGAGCAATATTGCTTGATTATTATTTTTAAAATCAAATCATTTTTAAATTAATGTCATGAATCAACCGGTTGAGACCAAACCTCTTGACGGTGCCACAAATGTTTGCTTTGAGATTTGCAAGCTTCCAATCCAACGGCTACAAATGTCGCGTTGCACCATGACTTGGCGATGCGTCGTACTCTACACGTCAGCGAGCGAACCGTCGTTTCAATCGCTCCGATGAACAATGGGGAAATCTAGGCCCTCCACGTTAGCAATCCTGGGGAACCTCATTCCAGTCAGTCATGTCAAAGATCTCCTCCAAAGAACCCTACCGTTCGCAGCTCTATATATACCCAAGCCCTCACGAAGCGATCGCACCAGCGCTTTCGCACGCCTCGCCATTGATCTCGTTCGCCGTCTTTGTCCTCGTTAGGGTTTTCTAATCGATCCGAGAACTACCAGAGATGAGCTCCGCAGCGCCAGCGAAGGGTGGCCGAGGCAAGGCCAAGTCGTCGAAGTCCGTATCCCGATCGCAGAAGGCTGGCCTCCAGTTCCCTGTTGGCCGCATCGCTCGGTTCCTCAAGGCCGGCAAGTACGCCGAACGCGTCGGTGCCGGCGCCCCCGTCTACCTCGCCGCCGTCCTCGAGTACCTTGCCGCTGAGGTTGGTGATCCGGTCCCCTTTGCTATAAATGTTGTGATTTTGTCTTGTCCCTTGATATGATTTGGATTTGGCTTGTTTTAGGTTTTGGAGTTGGCTGGGAATGCGGCGAGGGATAATAAGAAGAATAGGATCGTCCCGAGGCACATACAGCTTGCTGTGAGGAATGACGAGGAGTTGAGCAAGCTTTTGGGGGCTGTCACGATTGCTAGTGGTGGTGTCTTGCCCAATATCCATCAGACCCTACTGCCCAGTAAGGCGGGGAAAGGGAAGGGAGATATTGGATCTGCGTCACAAGAGTTTTAGTTTTGTGAAGACAATATTGTGGTGTGATGGGAATATGATTTGTGGAGTGTGCTTGATGATGTAGCACCTTTTGGTATTTTGTTCAATACACTCATCGTAGTATGAGAGGGTAATTCCAAATTATTTCTTTTATATGGGATCTATTTTCCCTTGTCTTCGATCTTATGTGCCATTTAGGTCCAAAGTATCACTTTCTGTCTCCATTCAATTGAATCGTACTGGTTGACTGAATCAGTGATTCTTGTGATTACTAATTGATAAAGCCTATTTGAAGCATAAGTAAGCTTTGGTTGCTTTGTTATCATTTCAGCTGTGTGATTTCTACTTTTCACATTAATCATTTTTTGGTGGACCAGATTTGTAATTCTTGTTTAGAGTCGCTTTCAGAGTAGATATCCGTTTGGTACACTTATTTGTATCTTAGGAATATTTGTGGTGTAGAATCATGCATCTGTTTCCTCCATTGTTCTTGCCTTTTAAATTGCCTCATCCACCTTCAAAGCTATCCCAGCACTAAGGGATATGAGTATGACATTCTGTTATCATGGCCCTCTTCCTCTCAAATTAAGATTGTTAACTGTCAGAGCTGTAAATTCTCCTGAGCCAGCTGTAGATTCTATTGATTCTGGAAGCTTGCGGTTGCAGCTTTTAGAACGAGTTGATGAGGAGCTAAAGAAGGGAAATGAGAGGGGAGCTCTATCTCTTATCAATGAGACACATGGGAAGCCTGGGGGCCTTCGGTGCTTTGGAACAGCAAGACAGGTTATTTGTCTTGATATTAGTGTTCTGCAATCTGTTTCTATGTTGTGTGGATTCCTGTTGAATGTTCTTGTCTTTTGATTTATCAGTTTTCTTCCAATGAGCACTCAACTTGACGATGTGAAAGAGGGTTTCCACTTTTTCTTGATTTATAAGTGATTCTTTAGTTAATGTTCAATGAAATAGTAACCAAGAGGAAGAATAAGAGAGATCTTCATGATTTTAGCTGCTATCAGCTATTTACGATGATGAAGGTGATTAGAAAGTTATCAGTAGTTTACATTTCAGCTAAAACGAAATGAGAGTGATGCATTAGATGGAACACCTAAGATTATTTTTTTATGTTGGTCCTCATTCTGTGTTGCAGCTTATGTTCATTGGCCAAATTATCTTCGATTTTGAATTGGCAACTATATGCATAATATATAAGCATCTAATTTTCTGAGATAATCTATCAATGAGGTTATGTAGTTGAAGTTATTTGTTGATTGCTGAGTTTTTTCTCACTTCGATTGATTGAAATTATTTTGATGTATGGTTAGATTGTTTTTGGTGGCAGACCAATGAAAGCTAAGCCATAATGGAATTTGATGGGATGAATATATTGAAATTATGTAATCTCATACCAATTTGGTGCATCTGTTGGATTATATAATTTTGCAGCCAGAGGTTTTGGGCAAATAGTAAGCTAAGCCAAACTGGAATTTGATGGGGTGAATATTGAAATTGTGTAGTCTCATATCAATCTGTTGCATCCATTGCATTATATAATTTCACAGCCAAAGGTTTTGGGCAAATAGTAACTCGTGGCTCTGTAGATGTGGGAATTGCTCTTGAAACCACTTCATTGTCATACCTAATGCTCGTGCAATTAAAGAGATTGGATACCACAAATTGCTTTGGGACAGTTGCAAAAAGCTCTTGCTGACATGGGATGCTTGATGCTCTGATTGTCAACTTGCATTTCATCTATTATAATATGGTGCTATTTTTTTTTATGAATGAGAGCATAAAGCTTAATGTTACATCCATTATTTGTGTTTATATGTATATAAAATACCTTCGGCGTGACTGTTGCAAATAGGATGAAAATTAGAGTTTGGTCTTTTTTTGATGCATTGCAGCGCCCACCCAGTTTGGACTGGATCTGTCAGTTCTGATTTGCAGGAAACTGGTTGAATCATATCACCCAAGTGGTGATAGGATTTCTAGCCTGTCAAACTACATTTAACTATTTGTTCATGATGAGCTTGACTGTTTTGGGAAAAGCATGAAATCAGGTGGCCTCACATCACTGATGTGAGGGACTTGTTGGAAGAGAGGGTTGAATAAGGATGACTAGACAGACCACACAGAAGATGTGCTGATATGCTCTTATCAGAGTTAAATCAGAACACTTGCTGTTTTAAAGAATTATGAAAAAATCACTCAAATTTTTAATCTTTTGAATTGTTTTTGTAAGATCGTGTATATATATATATATATATATATATTATAAATGATGTTTATATGCTATTGCTGGAAGAGCTTGGAGTTATGTTGGAGGTTAAGTGCTGGGCATGGCCAGGTATATTTTGTGTGGCAATAAATTATAGGACTCATCAGGTAAACCAAGGCAAGAGAAGTTTATGCTCTTTTGATACTTAAATAAAAATCCTTTTTAGTTAAATCCAAATGGTTCTCTTTATCTGTAAGCATTTATGTGGCTTGTTTCCCCTTTGGGTAAAATTAATGAGGTGTTTACAAGATTAGCTTGTTCCAAATCTTAATAACTCGTACCAGTTTTTTGTTGACTGTGTGGAATTTGTGATGTAGGTGCCACAAAGACTCTACAGCTTGGATGAACTGAAGCTTAATGGAATTGACACTTCTTCCTTTTTATCACCAATTGATGTAACACTGGGCTCGATAGAGAGAAATCTTCAGCTTGCTGCAGTTTTAGGAGGTGTTTCTGCATGGTTTGCTCTTGGGTTTTCTCCAGCACAGATATTGTATTTTTCACTCGGTTTACTGTTCCTTTGGTCATTAGATTTGGTGAGTTAACCAATATTATTACTTATGTGGGCAGTAATACTTCTTTTTAATGACATTGCAAGATTGATAATCATGATATTTTACTGATGTTGAACCTTGCTAAAGCTTCTTTTGCTATGGGATATACTGATTATATTCATGCATATGCATTATGTGTTTTGTGTTACTTAACTCTTTGGAATATTGACAAATGTTTTAACAGTTGCAACAGCAATAGTCTGTCCAAAATGGAGGTGAAAGATCTTCTTAGATTGCTTTTCTGAGTGCTAGCTACTTACCAAGTTCCTTTGTTACTCATCGCTGTTCATTTGAGCACTTGAACTCTATTTGCAGTTCAATTTTTTGTTTGTTCTTGAAAGCATTTTCGACTTCTGTAGGATGAAAAATGTTGATAGATTATCGGATGGAAACTTGGCTGCAGTCTGAGCTTTGTCTGCATGGCAATCAAAACCTTGATGTAGGCCATAATAACTGCAAAATAGTATCTTGATTTGCAGGCATTTATCAGTCTAGCTGGTGGATCGGTGGATCTTAGTTTGGCACCATGGCTGACAATGTCATGTTGGATTAACATGTTGATCCTGCTAATATGGTACACTAGTTCACATATATGCACTTGGCGTGCACTTGTATGTGTATTTGTAAATATGCATGTATCCAAGCTTATTTTTGCATATTTTCTTTTCTATATTGTTAATCTATCTATTTGTATATGCATGTATTTATTCAGTGTCTATATTCTTCATAGGTGCTAGTTGCCATTGATAATAGAGAATTATTCCTAAACATACATGCAGAGACTAAAGTCATCTCTTCTTAAAAGAATGATTCTCGTAGCTTTGGAGAGATTGCTGTGGGTCTATTGTTCTCAGCAAAACAGAGTTATCCAAATCATCTCTTCTTTTTTTCGTCATTGTAGATCTATTTCAACGGAGGAGTCAGGAATTTGGTGCTTGATACCATTGGGCACAAAGTAAGTCAGAAATATCACCACAGAGTTATTCAGGTAAAGTTTTACCATACTATTAAAGATATCAGATTTAATTGTTCTGGAGTGTTATCGAAGATATGGTCCTAACTCTTTGAAGATGGATATATGTGATACAGCATGAAGCTGGTCATTTCTTAATAGCCTATTTGCTTGGTGTGCTTCCCAAGGGTTATACATTATCAAGCTTAGAAGCGTTAATTAAGGAAAGATCGCTCAATGTGCAAGCTGGCACTGCTTTTGTGGATTTTGAGTTTATTGAAGAAGTATGACATTCTTTTCCTGTTTCTTTCTTAGTTTGTCTTCATTGTTATTACCTTGCTTTACATGGAAGCGCCATGCTGGCTCGTGCATTACAAACTTGATGTATTGCCCTTGTCTCTAGTTTTGTTCTTTTGAACTTGGTATCTCACAGTTCAGTGCTAAGTTGTCTCCACAAATGTGCACCAAGGAAAGATGCTTTTGCCATCTTTGGTTGAATGTTCTTAGCTTGTTAAAATTAGCTAAGCATGGATGTGGGTCATGGACACCACTTGACCCATTATAGATATGCTGGCACAGCAAATCTATAAAAAAAGACAATGTAGCTAGCTGAACATGATAGTAAATTGAATAGTTATAGAATAATTTATTATATTAATCCACATGAAGATGTACTTTGTACAATTTGTATGTAATTCATGAGAAGCATAACAATCATTTATCTTAAATGATGGCCATTTACTAAAATGCTAGAAACATGTCCAGCAGCCTTATGTATATGGCATGCATGTTCTACATATAAACCATGTAGATCCATGTGTGTGTGTTGTATATGATTGTGTATCATGCATGTCATAAATACTGAGTCTTGACAAGAACCTGACATGAACATTGCCAAGTATTACCTGGCAATGTTTCTCTTTGCATCATTACCCAGAAGCAAATATGCAACTTTTACTACATTGGTATTTGTTAATGGTCATATTGATGCCGAGTAAACAATATTTGGCATGTGCTGTTGGCCTCATCCCTGATGCCTGATGTCTAGTTTTTTCAAAGAAATTCTTTCAATGCAATATGTTCTATATCTGATAGAACAGAATACCATGGTAAAATAGTGTGATGCTGCAGAGTGGCTTTTATAAACCAATTCAAGGTTCATGCAAAAACTTAACATGAATACCAACATCCGACCACTAGCATGCTTCTTTGTCATCGAAACTAAGTTGTTTGGGTCCTCAATTTTGCAACAAAATGCTATAGCTGCAGTCCAACACGTACACCCTGATTGGATGTAAGAGAACACAGTGTTTAGACTATGATCTTTACAACCACCGTGTTCACCTCTTAATGTGGTCCAGTGCTCTTTCCAAACAAGAATGGTCATACCAATTGGCATTTGCACCAGAAAAGCTTCTGCATGAGTATGCCAACATCCTAGAATTGCTGACATATAGTTGGGACAAATTTTGGTCTATATATGGGCTGTTACATGGTTGTGAATATGTTCTGGGCACAATGCAGAATTGTACCATGCCAGAGAGGTGTGTATGTGAAATTACCTTACCACAGTATCCAATCGATTATGATTTAGAAATATATAGTGTTATCACCTAATGATTTGTCAAAAATGTGGTTTCTCTGACTAGCCATTTAACAAGGTGGTTGTGGGGAATGCTACTAGATGAGTCTTTAGATATGTTTATGGTTTCTACTGTTGTTTCAATTTCTTGCTTCCAACGTATTTACCCTGACTGTATTATTCTTTATGCAGATAAATACTGGAAAGGTATCAGCGAAGGTGAGACTTCAAAATTCTTTCCTTGAAACATCAGTCTTATTTTCCACTGAAACATTTTGATTTGTTGGATGCATATAGTTACTCTCTGATCATTCCTATTCCTTTTTCCCAATTTTTTTTCTTTTGTAGGTCTGCACTCCTTTTCGAAACATTAGTTTCATTTTGAAAATTTCAATTCTATCACGGTAAATTTATCAGTGCCTTTTCTTTTGGGTTTGGAATTTTTTAAGCAGATGCTGAACCGGTTTTCATGCATAGCGCTGGCAGGAGTAGCTACAGAGTACCTCCTATTTGGGTATTCTGAAGGAGGTCTTGCTGATATCGATAAGGCCAGTCTCAAGTTCCTAACATTCTCTTTATATGCACAAATTAAGAGTTCTTTTCTTTCTCCTGACTGTTTCTTCCAATGTCTAAAAATAGTTGGATACATTACTCAAGAGCTTGGGTTTCACACAGAAGAAAGCAGATTCTCAGGTAAGATGGGCTGTGCTGAACACAATTTTACTGCTGCGCCGCCATGAAAAAGCTAGATCACAGCTAGCTGAGGCAATGTCTTTAGGGAAATCAGTTGGCTCTTGTGTTGATGTAATCGAAAATTCCATTGAAGCTGCCGATGTTTGATCCAAAAATGCATACAACATACTCCTGTCACTGTATCCTCAAGGATATTAATCCCACCTGTGTAAATGTACACACAAATACATGTAGAACTAATTTACATACACATGCAATATATGATGTATATTGAAAACTCCTCTTTCCAAGTTAATTTTGTTGTGAATCAACTATTCTCTCTGCTCATCATCATTTCAGTTGATTGCATTTATGTATGTTTTGTGATTGGCAATGCTGCATGATATCTTGATGGACAATATGCTACATCATCACGACGTGGCCCAGAATGAAACAAGGTAAGATCTCACCCGTCTTCTTGATGGACTTGACTACTCAGAATTGATCTCAACTGTACTTGGCGTTCTATTTCAGGATAAGTTCAAAGTCTGGTTTTGGTGGTTTGGATTGTGCAGGGCAAGTGCTTGACATGTTGCTTAGCTGGGTGGCTTATCCGAACACCGCAGCATTCAGAGCGGAGTCCACGGCATGTTGAGCTCGCAGACGGCTTCGCTGCCCGCCGACTGCGACCAAACATCGAACAGGTTGTCGTCTCTTTTGACGGTCTCGTTGACCACCCTTACTTATCCTTCTTCAGCCTTAATCTCTTCCAAAAATATTATAAAAACGTGAGGGCTCAAATAATTGATAAAGAATATTTTGGGTATTTTAAATTTTTATTTTTTAGAAAAATAAACAATAACTATAATGGTTTACTTCTATTTCACGAGAATGACGTATCTGAAATTTACAGCGATAAATATGTTCCTTTCAGACTTCGGAAAGAAAGATACCTAAACATCTTTTCTAAGATGTGACCTGTGAAAATAGTTATGCCGTCATATAAATTATCCACTAATTATTATATATAATTCTTAGAAACACTATTATACATAGTTTTGGTTGATTAAAATGCTTAGATTTTATAAAATGGATATATATATATAGTTAGATAAATTTCTGAGAGCAAAGGTACCGGGTGGTGAGCTGATCCATTGGCCCACGAAAACACTTATTTAAACACCACACGTTGCATCGCGGTGGACCAAAATTCGCGAGTCGTACTGCCAAACACATCCAAGCGTTGGAATTGATCGTATCCTTCACCAATCCCTCTTCCCTCTATCTTCCTTCTTGTCTCTCCTCCACACCCCTCCTACTCACTCCCCTCTAATGGCGCCCACATCTCAGGCATCTTCTTCTTGCCCTTCATCAGAATCTATCAAAATTCTCTCTTGCTATCTTTCTCATTGAATTCCCTCTTTGTTCCTGTAGGGTTCCGCCGTCTCCGATAACAAGAACAATGCTGCGTGCATGCCGAATAAGCCGGCGCCGACGGCAAATGGAGCGACGGTGAAGTGCAATCCCTGTTTGTCGGAGAACAAGACGTCCATCAGGGGAGTGGTGGCGCAGCTGCTGGCGATGGTTAATCCGGAGAAGCCGCTGATATCCCTCGGCGTCGGGGACGCCTCCTCGTTCCCGTGCTTCCGGAAGGGGAAGGACTTTTCAGACTCCCTCCTCGCCGCTGTTTCCTCCTCCATGTTCGACTGCTATCCCCCCTCCTACGGCTTCCCCTTTGCCCGCAGGTTCGCATGTTCTGTTTCCTAATAATTAGCTTGTCTTCTCCGTAGTTGCTGCGTAAGTTTGAGCCCATTCGTTATCGTGAATTTGAAAGTAATCCACCGAAAAGCTCCAAGAAACCACGCAAAAGCAAACGGTCCTGCACACGAGTTTTGGTGAGCAAAGTTAGGCATCCATTTACTTCTTGAACCCAATTCTACAAACAGATGGAGTGCATCAGCCTAGTTTGACGAGAAGCGTAGGCCTGTGTGTAGAACCCTCCTGCTTGGTTCTTATCACCAGTCATCTGATGATGGAGCAAGGAGTTGGATCTTAGCCAGTGTCCCAAACTCTTCGCAATCCTTTGTCGTCGACCTGCGTGTTCCAGCCGTCTCTCATACGTTACTGCAACTATAGTCTTATATGTCATTGAATCTAGTGTGTGGTCGAAACGCTGTGGAGAAGACGACGTGCCGAGTACAAACACAAACAGAAGTCATCGAGCTGAGGCCGTCATCGCTCCTCGGAGGACACCATCACGAGGAGTTCAACACGCCACGTATCTTCAGGGGACGAATCCATTTCTTCCCCTCCGTCCCATAATAATAATAATAATAATTATTATTATTATTATTATTATTAGTGTTAAATATTATTTTTAGAGATGCATATTTATTAGTTTTCCAGCAATAATAATAAATATTATTTGCGTTCTATCATTTATTAGAGATTTCCAGCAGCGAAATGAGATATTTCATGCAACTGCTGAGTTCACGTAAGATGTAGCAGTGGAGTGATCATGGCATCTTTCCCTCTTCTTCTTCTTGGAAACGATAAGCAGGGCGGTGGCGGAATTCCTGTCGAAGGGAGTGAAGCATGGCATCCGGGAGGACAGCGTGTACCTGACGGTGGGAGGGACGCAGGCCATCCAGGTCTGCTTGACGGTGCTGGCGAGCCCCGGCAGCAACCTGCTCCTCCCTCGGCCGGGCTTCCCCCCTTACGAGACCGCCTGCGAGCTCGCCGGCGTCGAGGCCCGGTACTACGACCTGGCGCCCCGGCGTGGCTGGGAGATGGACCTGTCCCAACTCCGCTCCCTGGCCGACGCCAACACCGCCGGGCTGGTCATCATCAACCCCAACAACCCCTGCGGCGCCGTCTACTCCTCCACCCATCTCCAACAGGTGCTCCTGCGATCCATGCTTCCCCTTCCATCCTGCTGCAACTCTCACCTATTCATCGCGAGTGCTCCTCTTGGCAGATCGCCGAGACCGCCAGAGACCTAAACATCCCTATCATCGCCGACGAGATCTACGGGCACATGGTCTTCGGTGGAAGCAGATTCATCCCGATGGCCTCCTTCGCTCACCTGACTCCCGTCATCACCATCGGAGCCTTGTCGAAGCGTTGGATGCTCCCCGGTTGGCGTCTCGGATGGCTCGCCATTTGTGACCCTCATGGGCTTATAAAGCAGGTAAGGGATTCTAACGCCGGCATCTCAGGACCAGCCATGATCACATATTGACTTCGCTCGGCTTCCATCGTGACAGGTGAAGGTGGCGGCGGAGATGCTCATGAACGTTACTTCGGGACCTGCATCTGTGATTCAGGTACCAAATGATCTCCTATCAACGATGTCTTCACATATTGAAGCATGAACGATGAATCCATCTCTCGAACAGGCAGCAGTTCCTGGAATTCTCTCTGATTCCCATGAAGAGTTCCACAGGAATGTCCTCACGGTGCTGGAATCCTCACTGGATGCCCTTTATGCCAGGATTGGTCAGATCGAAGTCCTCCAGTGCCACTCTCGACCTCAGGGTTCAATGTTCATGATGGTTGGTTCTTGTTCATCTCCTGCTTCTGCCTGTGCAATGAACAGGTCCAACCATGACTGTTCCATTTGGTTGCAGGTGGAGATCAACACAACACTCGTGTTTGGCATTGAGAACGATATGGATTTTGCAAAGGAGCTGATCAGAGAAGAATCTGTGCTCGTGCTGCCAGGTAACCTTCCATTTTGGTGTACATCAAGACAGCAAATTTATATCTTATAGTGTTGTGGTCAAACTTGATTCTCAATCCGATGTGATATGCTTCTGATTCTGAGTATCTTTTTCATCATAATTTATGCAGATGTAATATACTTTCTTAGTGACTAGAATCAAGAACTAATTGGTACAGAATATTTATCATATTATCTAGAATTTAGAATGCACAATGTTCTAAATGGAGCTCAACCCAGATATGTTAATGTCAGACGGAAGCTTCCCTTATCTCTTCTTGTTTGTTGTTCGCTGCTGCACAAGTCGAAGCTTCAGTTCCTCTTGTTCTTCTACTGACCGTGTGACTGATCTCTGCCAGGCTCTGTCATTGGATTGAAGAACTGGATCAGGATCTTCTTTGGAATTCCTGCAGATGTACTGAGGGAGGCTTGTGACAGGATCGAGTCTTTCTGCAAGAGGAGACAGATTAAGAGCTCAAGCATTCTGTGACCACATGCTACCAAAATAACATCCACATGATATGTATCCATGTATATGTATCCATGTATATACACATATATAGGGTTGATAGATGCACTGTAATAGTATCAAGCACCAGAAAACCCCACTGCAGTAGCAATTTAAATGTAATAACATTTGTATGTAAATTTTGGAACAGGTGATAATAATGACACTTGCCATAGTAAAATGTTTTTTTTAGATGATATATGTAGTATATATAGTATTCTTTGTACTCTATCAATGTGCTCGAATGCATAAGTATTCTATGCATAGAGGAATACATAGAACATGGAAAAAATACATAAAGTCAGACCATAGTAAAATAAAGAATATAAAGATTTTGTTAAAATTATCTGATTATTTTTTTTAAAAATAATTATAGATTTTTTAAATAAATGAACTACTTTTATGAAATTTCTATGGCCTATTATTTTTTAGAAAATTTCCAAAAAGCCCATGAATTGGATATTTACAAATAGGTAAATCCCATCCACCTCAACTCATGAATTCTATCTAACATTATGTGCACATTACGACGATTGTTATCCTGATACCATATTCATCGTATCTAAGATCCAAAACACACTGTACCGCAACGTGTCATCTGCTGCTTCCAACGTGTCGCCCACGTATGACGACGTCCACGTGCGTTGTAGCTCTCACACTCACGATCTTCGGCCAGGACGAATTCAATCTACGCAACGGACGGCTGTGATCATCGTTCCCTTGCGGCATCATCTCCTCGTGTCGTCAGTCGTGGGCGAATGGAATATGTCAGGCCACGAATACTTTATTCGGAGCCGCACGTCATCGATGACGCACCCAATCCAAAAGATACCAAATTATTTCCCCCGTTTGTACGACGAAGCAGTTGGAGCAGTTGGTGTAACAGTGGGTTGAGACGGTGTAAAGCTGCGTTATAAATGATATATAACGGGATGCTCTCAGGACTGTTATGTTAACCGAATATATTTAAGTGAGCCCTTTTCACTCTCCTCGTCTCAGACGACGGGCGGGCGAGTCGTATACCGCTGCGCGCACTCTCCCTTTCTCTGTGCTTCCTCCGTCGACCTCTTTCTCTTCTAGGGTTAGGGTTTGCTATATATGGAGGCCCCGGAGCTTCTTGACTTCGCCGTCGACGACGAGGAAGACGGTACCCTCTTCCCCGCCTGGGAGTTCGGGGCGTCTGACCTCCCGACGCCTTGTCCGCTGCCTGCTACCGTTCCTCCGCCCATCCTTCCGTCGCCTCGGGCTGCGGCCGGAGAGGGGTCAGAGCCGGTTGGGAAGCGAGACCCGAGGCTCTTGTGCTCGAATTTCTTGGAGGGACGGGTCCCTTGCTCGTGTCCGGCGGCGGACGAGGTGGAGCCGGCGGAGTGGGGGGACAAGCCGATGGCGGGCGCCGTTGGAGGCGACCGGAAGCGGGCGAGGAAGGCGCGAGCGACGCCGGTGGCCGCTTTGCGGTGTCAGGTCCCTGGGTGCGAGGCCGATATCGGGGAGCTCAAGGGTTACCATCGGCGGCACCGTGTCTGTCTCCGGTGTGCTTGCGCTCCGTGCGTGGTTCTTGATGGTCAGAGCAAGCGGTACTGTCAGCAATGTGGCAAGTAGGTTCGCGGTCGAATCTCGTTGTTGGTCGTTTCCTTCCTCCTGCTATCTTTTTGCTCCGAGTTCTTGACCGTGCGGTAATGTGCATGTGGTACCGGTTAACAAGTGTTGTAGCCTTTACAGGTTTCACATGCTGTCAGATTTCGATGAGGGTAAACGTAGCTGTAGAAGAAAATTAGAGCGTCACAATAAAATAAGGCGGAGAAGACACACTGATGGTGTATCCATGATGGGAAAAGAGAAGGATCCTCATGGAAGCCTGCAAATGAACGTTTCTTGCGTTGATAAATCTATGACAGGTATGAACTGGTGGAATTTGAATTTATTCTTTATTCATATTGTATCTAGATAGCAAAAATAGCAAACTCTTAGTTGCATGTAGAATATTAACCAATTTATGTTAGCGACTGCTTAATATCAATATATTTGTTTGGTTTGATAAAGAACTTGTTCATTCATTTATGATGGATAAATTTTATTTATTTTAATTAAAATAATTTCTCTTGATATTGGATAATTGAAGATCATCCCATGGCTGTATAACTAAATATACTAGTTAGGTCTAGTTCTTATAACTTGCTTGATACCCTTACCAAATTGGTAAGGGACACCTTGCTCATCCTTTTTTTTTTTTTTGCTTGCTTATTGTTGTCCAGAGATGTTGTTTGGAGTTGCATGCCACACAGAAGAAAAAGTCATAAACAACAAACTAATGGAGAGGAAAGTTCTACATGAATCGGATGATGGGTGTGATACTAAATTTAATTTGCTTAGTGGTTTTACAACTATTCGTGGAAACAGTTTTTTGTCCTTTGCTGCATCCAGTGAACCTCAGAATGAAGAGAAGGATGATAACCCCAAGTCCCCTATTTCCTTTACCCTCTGCAACAGTAAGAGCACTTATTCATCTACGGTAGGTTCATGATCTTTATCATCCTGGGAATTTGGCTGATCTTTAATAGCATAATTTGTTCTAAGAAGCATTATTGATGTTATTATATTTGAATAATGCTTATTACATGTACCATATGAGGTATTACTTGTTTGTAGTGTCCCACAGGTCGTGTATCATTCAAGCTTTATGATTGGAATCCTGCAGAGTTTCCTAGACAACTTCGACACCAAGTATGCATGCAAACTTTTAAATGCATTAAGCCTTTGATATAAGAGGCTAATTGATTGTCATTTGTTCCAAAATACAGATTTTCAAGTGGTTGGAGAGTATGCCTGTTGAGTTGGAAGGTTATATTCGGCCTGGCTGTACTTTCATGACTATATTTATTGCCATGCCAGATTTCATGTGGGAGAAGGTAGATCTTTTTTCCATAAAAGAGTACTATTGATCCTTTATTCATGAATAATAGGTTGTACTTTTTCTTTCTTTTTTTTGTTTAATTTTTCTGAGTGGTTCTTTGGGCTTTTCCGGATGTCATCTTTATTATATACATGAAATTCACAAGAACATTAAGTTCTAGACCATTGACTTAGTTTTGGGTAGTTGGAGTCCATCCTGATACCAATCTTACTGTCAGCACGTTTTGGCTGTTATCTTGTAGTAATTGGGTACAGATGTATAAGATGAGTTTAGGGGATATTATAGCTTAGAGGAGGTCATAGTTGCTTGAATACCCTAATTAAGTGATAGAATTACTCTGCACATCTAACAAAGTGGAAATTCTGTTAGAAGCTAATATTTTGCTTTGGTGGTTAGAAAAGAGTATAAATGATGCAAACATAAGTTGTAAGAAAGGCCTTACTCCAATCACAGCCTTCTCACCAAGCTCGTCACCGCAGCCCAATGATGTAGCTTCCTATAATCGTTATTTGATGAAGGATTACTCCACAAAGTAATCAACAGCTGGAACTTACTTTAACTGAACTTCTAGATGTTCTGATACTAATGTCTGGTAAACATTTATTGTTATGAAAGAACCATAGTGGCAGGAAATTGAAAATAAATTGTCCTCTTTTTGTCTCATCTTAACATGGGATGGTCCTTCCTTTAATCTATCCTTGCTTTACACAGTTATCACAGGACGTGGCTGGCTGTATTGAAAACTTGATTTATGCACCTGAAAGCTTGCTTGTCAGAAGAGGCAACATCCATATTTACCTATGTGACACTATTGTTCAAATTTTGAAAGGTATGTCCTAGTTCATTTTCGGTGTGGACAAATAAGGGTGTTTTGTTTGTTCTTTTGACAATATGAAGCTTAGCCTGACTTTAATGACTTCTTCAGATTTTGTTGGCTATCATCTTAACTGCAATTTTATCTGCATGCCTTTGTGTATATGCATGTATGTACACATACACCTTGTGCACATCTATAGATGCTTGCATGTGTACAAAGCAGAAGGGATTTTGACCATGTGTTCTGAATCATATAATTTATTCCCAACGGTGTTGTAAACCAGAGGGTATAATCATATCAGATTAAGCCATATCTGATCACATTGGAGGTCTTGGGCCTTGAAGAGAAGTGTTAATCTTTGAATGGGAGAAATTATAATGCCACAATAGGTCCCATATTGGGTATTGATAGTGGATTGGATTAATATATAGAGCTCGAGGAGTTAAAAGTATCAACTATCTGAGCTTAAGCATCTTGAGTCACATAGTTCGTCTAGTTTACTCAACTTATTTGGTCAATAGGTTCATTTATTTGTGTAAATGATAGATACTGGTATTTAAACAGGCAGTTTGAAAGTGTTTTAGATTTTCCTCTATGAATTCAGATCAAAAGCCTTTGATGAGCACCAGGATGGAGGTGCAAGTTCCCAGGCTTCATTATGTTTATCCTACTCTTTTTGAGGCTGGCCGGCCAGTGGAATTTATTGCCTGTGGCACCAATCTGAATCGGGCGAAATTGAGGTAAAATTACTAGTAACCTGTGGCACAATTGTCTGTTTGCAACTTATTTGCTGTGCAACTTATTTGAGGTAAAATTACTAGTATCCTGTGCAACTTATTTGCTGCATGATAAATTTACCTTTGCAATAGCTTGGTGTATGGTTCTGGTTTAAGTTCCAGATAAATGCAATTGTCTGTTTTCTTTGACTTCGATTTTGTATAGAACCTGTGAGTAGCAGTTCAGGCTTCATATGATTTGTACACTATTTGCGATGCTTGTATGTGGTGATGTTTCTGGTTATACCATTGGTTGCACGATCTTGTGAGTCTGAGCAGAGCTGCCAAAAGGCATCGATCTGAAATAGAAAAATGTTTTTGCATAGCTTTCTTAGGATTCAGATACCACTTTTCTTACAAACCTAGATCTTATTGGTGAGGACTTCCCTCCTGAAGCTGAAAGAGTAATTTGCTAATTAAATGGTAGACCAAACTTTGTGTCTACATTTTGTACTCATCTAAGGCTATTTTGTTTTTATAACTTTATTTTCTAATGACTAGGTTGCATTTGATAAGTCTGAATAATTAGTTGAAAATGATTATTGTTGGCTTTCATGTAGGTTCTATGACATTTCCAGCACAAGCTACGGTGATGTGTGGAGATGTTCCTTGTTTGGTAGGATATCTGATGGGGGATTAATATGTAGTTTTTATGTCCTATAACATTGCTCATAGAGGCCTATTAACATGGTCAATTTAAGTAGCATTACAGCTTGAGTTATTCTAAACTTCAGCAGTCTGTAGATTTATTTTTTTTATTGAAATTGCATAAAAAAATAATTTTAATCAGAATTTTAGTGTCTGATTAATATAGGCAAGAGTTTCTACATTTTTTTTGCCAGGTTCCCCATACAAACTATGTTGGTTATTAGTATGAATAAAGGTGCTATCTCTGTTCTTGTGTGTTCTACTTCTTTGAAGTAGAAGCACGGGGTCAATTACATGTAGCAGCATATCCATAACTGTCTTTCCTGTCCCTGTGCATTGGAATGTGTCTGTGAATGTAGCGTATCAGCACTACCTCATAACAGCATAGAATGGCAACTAATACTAGCCTTGCCCAGTCTCTCAAATTATGGGCACGTTGACATGGTATCTTATGGCTTTATAAAGGCATTGCCTACACAGGTACAGGTAATTTCTTTGGCCTTTCTAAAGAAACGCATTGGCTTTATAGAGATAGTTTCTATTGAATATCTTCTCTCTCTTTAGCCTTTAGCATTGACCTGCCTTTTGCCTAAGAACCTCAGAACAGAACTACTTACCTTCTGATCTAGCATACAAGTTTCTGATTGCAAACAAAGCGATGTGTGTTGCATTAATATATAGGATGTTCATAAAAGACAGGTAGCACAGTGAGTGACCAAATTTGAGAAAGTATTTGGGACATGGAAGGCGAGTCATTTTGAAAGGATAATCTCTCTCTGTTTGTGTTTGTGAGAAAGAACATTGAGATTATGAAAAATGAAAAATTAGAGGAGAAGTCTCTCTTCCTGTTGCACTTCAATCACTTTCTGTTCTTTTGATCTAAAATTTAGATACTAAATAACATAACTAATGTATCTTTTGTTGAAATACCGTAGTTTTTATGCTTTTCTGGAGTGATACATGCTTCTAAGCTAGGGTAGCACTTTGATGGTTCTTGTTGTAACAGTAGCAATATTGACTCTCAATTTGTTCATAAACCTTCTTTTTCTACTGAATATGATAAGCCATGACATTGATCGTCCAAACCTCTCATCTACCAAGTTGCAATTCCTATTACAAGAAATCTTCAGAATCCCATGACTGGTTGGGTCTAATATTATTACTTCCATACTCATTGAATTGTATTGCACTAATTTTTAATGTTGTTGGGTCTGTAATTCATATAACTGCTGCTGATTGCATGTTAGGGCTACAAGAATCTAAACAAGATTGATACTTGTGCAGGTTTCTTGTATCTTTTGCAGGAAAGTATCTGGAATTAAGCTCATGTCTTGCCATATCACATCACGTAACTAAACCTTGCAATATCAATGATACGGATCATATTTGTGATGATGAGCATGAGATGTTCCAGATTAATATTCCTCAGACAGATTCTGATGTCTTCGGTCCTGCATTCCTTGAGGTTTGTGTCTTGCAACTTTTGTTTTCTTTGCTCATGGTAAATGCGATTTTTGTTCTGTTGGATGTTTACTTGAAGTGTCTACTGCATGCTTTGGATGCTTTCTTCATATGCTTTAATGTTTGCTCCTGCATAGAACCTGTAATGGAATGCCAGGAACTTTTATTGTCATGACCTGGCCCTCTGGAAAACTGACCCATTTACTTGGGGTGAACATTTTATCGAGTTCTTTAGTGTCAGGAAACTAAGTTATATTAAGATAAATTAGGATGGACTTCAAGCAGTTAGGCAGACATGTTTAGCCTCATCTTTGTTATGTTTGTGCAATTTGTGCAAAGGCCATAAAAACTGTCCATGCAACCTAGATTGTATCAAAGAGCCATATGAAGATTTTCTACTGGCTTAGCAGTGGGTGTGGCCTCCCTAAGCTCCAGGCATATGTGGTTTAGACGAGCTTTTGATTGTGCTTATCCTTAACTGTGCCCACAAAAATGTGTACAGTGTCTTTGTGCTGGAAGTGGTAGCCCAAGCATCTATTTTAGATAATCCTCTCTACATGTTTGTAATGACATGATTATTTTTAAAACAAAGTAAATTTTTGTTTGCTTTGCCTGCGTCCAGTTTATCTAAAATATTAATTCTTTGAACAATAATTTTGATTTGCATGTGAAGTGCTTGACTTAGGTACAGATTCTCTACAGAAAGTTATTGGTACTGCTGATTTTCTCCACCATAAAAGTCGCTCAACTTGTCTCGTGTAGGTGGAAAACGAATTAGGAGTTTCAAACTTCGTCCCTATACTTTTTGGAAGCAAGCTTATATGTTCAGAGTTTGAGAGGATAAGCAGAGCTATTTTTGATAGCTGCTGTTCTGATGGTATCTACAGGACTATGAATATTGATGCCACTTCATATTCTGACAATTCTTTCGTTTCGAAACAAATTGGTATCCCAGCACTACTTTTGGACATTGCATGGGTGCTCCAGGAGCCTGGGTCGGAGAAAAGTGAACAACTGCTGAGTTCAACCAGCATTCATAGGCTAGTCAACCTATTGAAGTTCCTGCTACAAATTAGATCTTTGATTCTTATGGAAGTAGTACTACATTATGTAGATGGGATTAATTCGCTAAGCTTACATGAAGTAAATAACACCTTAGATGGTGATTGGTTGCTTTTTTTGAATTATATAAACCAAGCAAGAGAAGTTCTTTCTCAAAGAACCACACAGCATATGAGATCAGAATCAGGTTCAAGAAACTTGAGCCCCTGCCCTCATTTTTCACGAAGCTCCAGAGAGAATGACACAAAGGATAGTATGCTTTCGGCAAATCAAGTAAGCAGCACAACTTTTCTGGTCTTAGCTTCTTTGCCTGGCAATCTTTAGTAGTTTTTTTAGTTGACATTTCTTGATGTTCATTTGTTAGAATTATCGTTTCAGAGTTTATTCATGTGTTATTTTTTGTTGATGTCTATTTTTTAGCCAAATACTCAGTGATTTTTGCATAAAATAGAGATCTCACACATTGACTAATGAATGGTCTGTAATTAGGATCTCCCATTTGCAAATGATGATACTCTAATCAAGCTAATACAGACTTATTAAGTAGATGTTGCAAATGATGATACAAATCAAGCTAATACAGACTTATCAAGTAGTTGATGTTTTTCTTGGATTACAGAGTCATTTGTAATATAAAAGAGGGAAAATTTATCGATATTGTCTTATAGATGTAAGCAGTTCATCTTCCGCATAAAAGTGTTAGTTATAATATCAAGGTGGGTTCAAGCCGGCTTCTATCAGTTTGTTGGTTTGCTTGATTTTTAGTCAATTCTAGCTTTCTTGCCTGCCTTTTGTTTATTTTCTGCCAAGTCTTCTGAATTGTAAAGATCTTAGGCGTAACGTTGGCTTCTCCATTTCCTTGTACATCCAGCACTGTGCTTTGGAACTGATGTTTTATTAGCTGTTACATTTCCGGCTGAATCCACTAGTCTCCCATTCATGATATGGTATTTCTTTTCTGACAACGGTCGTTGCTGTCGGAAACTTGCCACCACTACGTTCAAATAATAGGCTGATGAAACAACTCAAAAATATATATATATTTTTTTGGATCCCCAGGAGTTTGTGAGAGAAGACGAAGATAGTGTTGAGCTGACACACTCTCCCTCCAATCAAGAGAATCATGAAGCTATTTCGCTGGTGGCAGTGGCGAGAAAGCGTACTTCGATCTGCTGCCAACTGCAAATTGACGACAGATGGAAGAAGGGTTCATGGGGGAGCATGTATGTTGCTCTGGCGGTAGGAGTTGGTGCCTTCATATGCTTTGTAGCTTGCCTTGCCCTTTTCCACTCTCAGAAAGCTGGTGGTTTGCGGTATCCATAAGAAGTCATCTGTTTAACCATTAGCGGGGGTTTGTTGCAGGTATTCATTAGAAGAAGCCGTCTGTTTAACCATCGTTAAACACACTATTTGCTTTGTACTATTGTTAAAGATACATAACTCAGGCTGGGTGTGTTCACAACAAGAAGCCGGCTGTTTAACCATCGTTAGACAGACTTTTTGGCTTTGTACTATTGTTAAAGATATAAAACTGCTATTACGTTGTTTAATCATCGCTTTGTCGAATGGACATTGTGGCCTTAGTCTGCCGATTATTACTACAGCTATTTGGTTTGGGGAATGTGAAAAGCGTTTTTGGAGAGTTAATTAGTTAATAATTTTAGTATTTCGATCTTTATACTTTAGAAACGTATATTCAATCTCTATATTTTAAAAAATTATATTGAGATCCTTATTGTTAATATCTAAGTTTATTTATTTTAATAATTTTAATTTTTTTAAAAAAAATATAAAAATAAATAATAAAAGAATAATTTTAATATTTCAATTGGTGATAACAGATGACGACATAATAGTTGAACACGAGCAATTCTTTCATCACTCTGCATCTACGTCGATGCTCCATCGTCATAGAATCAAAATTTGCCATCGAAGCCATCGTAAAGATCTTCTCGCTTGTCAAAGCAAGACTCAGAGATGTGCGCCTCTCTTGTCAATGTCGACACCATCCCTTCCTTACCGCCTGCATCCTTAACCACCGCCACCACTACTCATTTGCGACCAAGGCCTAGGAAAATACCCTTCTCAACCTCTCCATCTTTGCTTGTGAGGTGCTCATGTGCACCTAAGCATCCTTAACGCCCTTATCATCGCCCTCTGCCTCCTCTCCCTCGTCGTCGCCCAACATGTCGTCGCAACCCTTTACAACCTCCTCTTTGTCGAAGCGTACTGCTCCATCATTGGGTTAAAGAAGCCTCTCATCACTACCCCCGTGGACTTCCTAAGGCCTCGACGCACTGACTAGGTCCACCCCTCTTCACACTAGTGGTGAAGGACAGGTGGTCGAGGACACGAGGACAATAATCGCCTAGGTAGCGACATGCGATTAGAGTATGGAGGCATTCCAAAAGGTGAACAATGTTAACGTCTTAGTGGATCTAGTGGTTGGGGAGAAAGGGAAAATGTTACGACTATGCTAATGAACCTGGTAAAAAGTAACGAAGGTGAGGCAATGAGGGACATTAGGGAGGTGGACAAAGTGGAGGCGACCGTGAGGGCTTTGGTCGACGACAACATCGAGATGAGTGCAAGAGGGAAAGAGAAAAGCCAAAACACTATTAAGGGTACTAAAGAGCGAGCGAGAGCCAATTGTAGGGTCATGATAATTCTAAGATTGACACCAATGACTCTATGCCACAAACGTCGCTCCGTGACGAAGTCGCATAGTGCTCGTCACTCTTCATCCCCCACCACTAATTATAATATTAAAAATTATCTTTTTACCCTTAATTTTTATATTTTCGTTAGTAAAATCGATGATGTTGAAATAACTGAACCCAAATGTTTCACTCATAACTATAACAATGCCAATATAATTTTTTTAAAATACATAGATTGAGATACTAAAAATAATTAATTATAAAAAATAATCTATAATTAATTTATTTTTGAATAATGATGCATAAACCATATTACACGTAGCATTAGAACCAACCCAATTGAGTCCAACCTCTTATTATATAATATATATATATATATATATATATTAATTTTAATAATTTGATTATTGATATATAAAAATATATAAATAATAAAAGTAGAGTGATGTAATTGTATGTCAATCCCTAATCCAATATTGATATCTTTAGCAATATATGAGTGTGTTTGTTGCCAAAGATATCAGACTTGGATCATACCAATGGATATGGATCAATGTTGGATTGACATACCACGACATCACTCTACATTGATTATTTATATATTTCAATATATGAATAATTAAATTATTAAAAAAAAATCACAAAAGTTATTACTGATCTCCTTTGTAGACATGACGAGTTAGATTATGAAGTAGCAACCGGAATAAACTTCACCATCAGCTCACAAAAATGATGCATAAGGATACACATCAGCCAACTAACCAAACATTAACATATAAGAAGAAAACTAAATACCAAAATTCATGCTTCAAAAAGGAGTTTGCTCCCTCGTCCACGCATGACCACTCTTGATGTCGCTTTATTTCCTTCTGTCCACAAGTAAATACGCTACTGTTAGACTACAAAAACAAAAAGAAAAAGTAACGATTGAAACACACAACAAGCACAAGGATTTAGCAGACACAGAATACATATTGCAAGTTGCATGCAGCTTATGGAACCAAGTTTCAGTGGCATCCATGCAGAGTAATCGACAAAACAAGCACATGAAAAGATGACAAGATTTTGTCGTATGCCTCGCCAACTGTTAAAGAAACAAGCAAAGAGGCCAAAGCTAAACAATGAGAATCCCACCTGATGCATTTAGCCTGAGGAACAAGCAAGCCCAGTTTCTCCAAGCTTTTGAAGCGATCCGTCGCAAGTGTACAACACCCCTTTAAACCGAAAGGGAAAGGAATCCATCAAATTCAACAATGAACATCCAGTGATGAACAATTTAAACATACTTTGCGGAGAAAACACTAGTACCTTCAACTTCCTAAGAGATCCAGAAATCTCCTCTGTCAGAAGAACTTGAAGAGGAGCAGGTTCAAATCTATAAAAGAGCAGAAAAAACAAATAAATAAATCACCCTGAACAACCGGGATTGACTGCACACAATATGGATAATAGATTAATTTGCACATAAAAGACAATTAGATCAATCTCAGATCAAATAGAAGATAATTATCAGACATTTTAACATGCAGTGTTTTGAAAGAGAACTTTGGGTGTTTATACTGGTTCTCATTAGCAAAATACCTTCGGTTACCAATTCACTTTTAATTAGCCAACAATATCAACATTTTACAATAATCACTGGATCTATTTACATGTCAATACGTCTAAAGTTAGCAGTCACTGGACCTATTTACATGTCAATATTTTACAATAATCTCAAAGCCCCAAGAATTAACACAGAAAATAGTGCACAGCTTTGTTGATATAATAAAATATTTCAGGCTAAATTAATGAAAAGATATCTGTTGCTTGAGGGCTGAGCATTGTCCATGAACTCTAGCTATAGTGACCAAATATATTAGATACCAGATAAGAACCTTTATAGTGATATTTTTTAAACCATAAAGCTGGTTGGCCAAGTAAACTAGACAATTTGGACTATGTATACCAAGAAAGTCATTTTCCAGTAAAAAAAATGATTCTAATAGTCCAGAGAGCCCGTAGTACAATGTATTTGTCTGTACAAAATAAGACCAGTTGCCAGCCAGAAGAAACATGCAGGACAAACATGTATTCTTATGAAGGCTTCTGTTATTGATGAATTAATGATGCAAGTGAAATAAAATCTGACAATTGCAGAAGAATAATATGTTTCAGGACATTACTTGTACTTCCCAAGTCGTGGTGGAGCAGATTTCAATCTTTCCTGCCTAGCTATGATGCGTCTCATGTGTCTACGGTTCTTTTCTTCATCCTCCTTGGTTATTTCATTTATTATATCTGGTAAACTGCAGAAAGTATCTGAAAATGTTAAATTAAGCATCAAAGACATATGATGACCACAGCGAAATAAGTATGACCACAGACACCTATCAATTTCTTTCGAAAGAATCTCCATTTTTTTTGCTGCTTCTTCTGCTTTTAGCTGTTCCTTACGCCTGGCTCTACGATTTAGCTCCACACGAGTTACTCTCTTTGTTTTTGACTTTCTGTAAAAAACAGAATGTCTCATTATACAAGATTAATAAAATTGCAAAATATGCAAAAGCTATGACTGAAAATTTGGCGTTCACACAGTACAAAAATTTAACTGTATGAAAAATTTATATGTTTGGGCAGTCACATTAAGTGAACAACCCACTAATCTGGTAAAAAGAACTCTTAACAGCCATCAAGGAAAACCTACAATTTTTTCCTTTTTTGTTTCAAAACCCACAATTTTTAGACCATCACAAAAGTCTACAAATAGTTAAGATAATGAACAGCACATCTTAGCCACTGACTTTTAAGAAAATAAATTTACTTGGTAACGTTTCTGGAAAAGATATTTTGAAACTTAAAAGTGATTTAATTCATATATCATTTAAGTAACAATTTTCTCCAATAGAAAAAAATAAAGCTGATTTAGAGAAAGGCAAATTCAATTAGCATCCTTAAAGGCAATGGCATTTCTGAGAATGGATGAAGGAAAGAACAATTGTACAAGTTAATAATTCAAGGGAAACATTCAGCATGGGGTACTACTAGTGCATGAAAAGTTAATAAATTTTCCGAATGATTGAAAATAAAAAAAGGATAAGTACACAAATTCAACAATGGACCAAGGGTTATCCATTTGTAATATGAAGACACGACTAGTCAGCATTTCTTTTTGCGGGTTGGCACAAAACAGAACATGGTCTGGCCATGCATTGACACGATTAGAGATGGCTTTGGATGTGCTAATGCTGCTATTCTTGCACTAAGGTATACATAAAACAAAAGATAATGACAACTTGCTTTAGTTTCCAACTGTAAGGTCAGGCAGTCAGCTATATGGATTCTTTTCCCTGCTATAATCTGTTGATGGGATAACATAGATGATAGAACAGTGGAAATAAATTCATTTCATAATAATTTTATTAACATCCAATTCATTACAAGCCATTTTATAGCATATTGCATCTAGGAAAATGTCCAAGGTTGATTAGTTTGATGTACTCAGACAAAAGTTCTTGATTGATCGATCACTAGCAGTTTAAAGCAACAGCAGTTGAATGTTAATCCTTACAAATCACAGAAGGCAACTCATAAATCTTATTTTGTAACCCAATGATAGAAGACCATATATGAGATATTAAATAGGATTATAGAAGTTTCTAGAAGAAATGTATATCTTCAACTGGCATACAACTTGGTGTCAATGATTTAAGAAAAAAATTTATTGCTTACATAGTAGAAAGAAGACATAAGCCCCCTGAGAAGTAATAACCCTTCATTATATAATTTTTTTAAAAAAAATATCTTCAACTTATCAAGGTAAATGAATGACAAAAGTAAAAGGCACAATAAATGTATCAAGAATTGCAATTACATCCTCGATCCAATCCAAATACATGAATTGTGCAAATTAAAGAGACACGAAAATGATGCAACTCAACTTCTTTCCATGTCCAAAACCAACATTTATAAGTATGCTAAAAAGTGTCCTCCAGTTGCAATCTATAATCCATAAAACACACACGCTGGATTGAAGGGCATATACGTGTCGGACACGGATTCATCACCGACACAGCTGGACACGGATTCATCACTGACACAGCTGGACACATGTCGGACATGTGTCCAACGGTGCCTTTTTTTAGTTTTTTTTAAATTATGTTGGATACGACATGGCGTGTCGGATTCGAGCTTCCTCATCACGAGTCAACTGCAGAGGTATCATGACATTGGGATTCCTCACCGCCGACCGAAGGCATCATGCAACATATGGAATCCTTCTTCCTCATGAATTTAGGAAGGATTTACAAACAAATCGTTAGTGTTAAATACCTTAGGGCCCAACCAAACCATTCTTCCTCACCGATGAAGCCTTTGCCCTCCACCTCGAGCCCCCCTCTCTGTTGTCACGCGTTGTCGCACTCTCGAGCCCTTCGCTTGGAGCATCCCTCAAGCCCTCGACGATTTCACCAACGTCCGACGAAGCATCTTCCTTAGTGGTGCCCGACGTCCAACGAAGGTAAATTAATTTACCTATTTTATTTTTTGTTTTTTAATCTATGTTTTTAATCTGGGTTTTTTTAATCTGAATTTTTTACTGCTAATCTAGGTTTTTTTATTGCTGATTATTCTAGTAGGTAAATTAATGTATTTTTTTAGTAATTAAATTGTTAACATATTATTCTAGTAGTTGTTTGTAGGGACTAACAGCAACTTGCAGTGTTCTTCATTACAAAAAATCCATTTGGTTTAAGGCCAACATGCAAATTAGATGTTCATTAGTAACACAGAGATAGCAGCATCATGACTACAACATTAATGAGCTCCAACAATGGTTATGGAAATTGGACTTATTTTATTAATAAGATACATTAGTAAATGTAATGGAGAGACTATAAAAGGTTATCTATATATATATAAATGTCCTCGCCATGTCCGTATCCTAATTTTTACAAAAATGATGTGTCACTGTGTCCGTGTCATATCCCGTGTCCATCTGTGCTTCATAGGTTGCAATACATTAAAACTTCCGAACTTTACATCTACAATGGGAAAAACCTCTATACAGACGACTTACTACAAGAAAAAAAGGATTCGAGAAAGCAAACCTCTGTCCAGGTAACTCATTGGTGACGCTGTCTGTTTCCTCTTCTATCTCACTTTCATTTCCATCATCTGCCTCTAGAAAATATTTCTGAAAAAGGTGATAAAAGATAAGTACACATTTACTTTTTAAATATGTAATCAGCAGCAGTAATTATTGTGAAAGCACTCATAGGACCCACAAATTAAGTAGAAAATGAAAAAAAAAAGTTCAAGAACAGAAAAACAAAAAAGAGAAAATCAACAGGACAAGACTGCACATTCAGATTGAATGTTACGGATTCTAGATGTTAACAAAACAGCAATGAAGTGTTTTTCTTTTGTGGCATGAGCGCATGACATAGCAACTTTGTTCTAATTAAATATTTCAATGACTAACTTGCAGACTATTTCAACTCTTCAAATGCCAGCAAGAAGGGCAAAGAATAAATTAAAAAAATAATCAGTTTATTGCATGAGATCACTAGATATATTGTCAAAACATCTCATTCTCACAAAATAACCATTAAGACAAAAGGAGATACTCTTGCTCACATCATCTTCTGCTACTACTTCACCAGGAACTGTAATGGGCACTGGTTGAGGTCCCAACTCTCTTTTGTAGATTTTTTGCATCTCATCAGCAACAGCTTGAGCCAATGAATCCTATATTAACGACAGCATAGTAAGGTACACACACTAAGATTCTAAATAATAGAATCAAGCAGACCACTTATTCTAAATGTACAAGTAGAAGCCAGAATAGTACTTGATGAGCCTCCAAAGGAGGATTGAATGAACACCCAGGTGGCTCCACTTCAACAGCAGGAATGAGACAGGCCTTGTGCTTCTGGAAGATCAGAAATTCGGGAAGAAGAAAGGAAAAAATCATGCCTCAAGTACAGAGGGAGATTCTTATACAGCATACAAGAAAAAGAAGACTACTCAAAAATCAAAATTGTTTATTTTAAACCGAACATATAATTTTAAAAGGAGAGCTTAGAAAGCGTAAAAAAGAATGAGTACATAAGAATGATAATGTGAAATCATAAATAATATTCATTAAGAAAGCACAAAAATCAACAAGCATACATTTATACTTCAGTAAGTTAGACTAATTGGCTTGACTACATATAAACTCTTTCAGGATTTATCTTTTGTTGCTCGAAACCTTTCAATCGATTCACTTAGGAGTTTAAAATTGATTTGTTTGGCTTTCTAGCCATTCTATCTAGATAAAGTTTTCAGACCTAGGCCTATTTGACCAGGGACTAAAACCATGCTTTTGGCATTCAGCCCATTTCTATATGAACCGATGACAAAGAGGGAAAGAAAAGGTCTCTAAGAGTAGAAGGCCTGAGGCAACAAACCATCATCATAGCCTGCAAGGGATACAATCACATAAGGTGCATCATGCACCAAAAGCCAATTACAAAGTCCACTCAAAATACAAACAGTGGAACCACATCTAGTGAGTAGTCACAACACAAAGACAATCAAAAAGCTCCATCTAGAACCCTATGTAACTTGAATTTGCATCAGCAATATTTAAAGGCACAATAAAGGAGTATCGGTGGTACCATGAGCATCTCGCTTTAGACTTTCCTATAGGTGTGGATGACTTTACACCAGAAATTAACTATTAGGCTATAGATATAAGAAATTGTCTACCACCTTTTTGGTCTTGGCATCTGCTTCTCCTGCAAGATTTAAAGAGAAAAACTTTGATAATGAAATCATAATTTGCAACATGAAACAAAAACAGAAAATTTGAACAGTAGATAGGTGATCGCACAAACCTTCATTATACCATATGTCGGTTAGAGTAGAAAATGTATCCTCTGCCTAGAAACATCAACAACATAAAATAAATACGTGACAGAAATTTGAGGTAGAACATCTTAAATCTGAAAGCATACCTTGGAAGCATTTTGAGTCTGAGTTTTTTCTGTGTCAACTTTTTTCTTTTTCCTCTTCAACTTTTTCAAGGTAGAAGATGGAACAGGTTGCACAAAAGGATTTTTCTGCAGCAAGCTCTCATAATGGAGAATTTTATCCTTATGCTTCTCAATCTTTCTTTTGGCAGGAATTTCTGTGGCAGTTCTAAAACTTTCAACAAACCTCTATAGTGTTCAGAACTTTAGTAGACAAAATACATGATACCCAGAAAAATGCAGCTACTCAATGCAAGAAATCCAATTCTGCTCATTTAGATTGCAAGAATATGTACTAAAGGGTATCCTATGCTTCTCATACAAAATGGAACATTACTTCTATCAAGACTGTTATTGACTTGTGTATCCGAGTACTTAATCATAAAAAGGGCCTGCAGAACATCTAATGAGTCATGATCCTATCAACCCTCTCCTACAGTGTTCTCACTTAGCACTTTAATAAAATCACTTGGACAAGTGAAAAAAAAATATAGTCTTTTCTGCTTTCAGTTACTTAAACAGCAATGAATGTTGGTGTCACAATGGACTGCTTCTCAAACGCCAGAGTCAAGAAAAAAAATACTTTCACCCCTCTAAGCAGACAAATCAGTCCTATTAAATCGAATTACTTTTAGTTCATGGCTCTCAGATAACTGCAATCATGCCAACACCGAAGAAGTCCACTGAATCACATGTCGACTGCCGCAACAATTTCCAAGTATTTCAGCTTCCACAAAGAACCAAATGTTAAGCATCTGAGTCTGAATCTGAACAAAATCTTCTTCTTCATTACCTAATTAGTGAAGTTACTCGTGTTTATCTTCAAATAACTTCACAATTCTTATCTTAACACAGTTGTGCGTGCCTTTTAGCTTCAATATGTACTTGCAACCGTACAGCATGACTAATTTGAATGCGTACACAGACCATAGATTGTCGTTATCAGTATATATTCTAACCCTGAAACCAGCAAAACTGGATTCAAGGGACCGACAGAAGATAAAGAAAATCCATGCGAGTCATGATGCTCGCCTAAAATCTTGAAGCAATCATGGGCAAAGCATACTAAGCATGCAAAGAATCAAAAGAATTTAAAGAAGGAAAAGCCCTGGAAGGAGCAAAATCGTACCGGTGGTGGATCTTTTGTCAAGGTAGAAGAGGGAATCGCTGGGAAGAGAGGCGATGGCGGCGGTGCGGCCGCTGAGGGCGTCCTTGTTGGACTTCTCGAAGTAGTCGTCGATGTCGTCGGTGCTGATGTTGGCCCTCCATGCCTTCTTCCCCTTCCTCGATCCCTTCGCCGCCTTCCCCATCGCTTCCCTATTCTTTCTCTCTTCGCCGGCCTCTTCGAGTGGGAGCGGAGGGCGGAGGAGTTGGGGGCTCGCGCCAAGTAATAAGCGGGGCGGAGGAGTTGGGGGCTCGCGCCAATTAATAAGCGGGCGGAGTGGGTTAGGGCAAGTACTGAGCGTGCGCGGTGCCTTGGAAGCCTATCCAGATGATCCTGACCGTCAAATTCTATCAATCACTCACATGCCCGTTCCTCTCAGATGATCCTGACCGTCAATCATGTTAATTCATACAAGTGAAGACACGCGTCCTTAACGCCTTCACTCGTGGAAATTAATCCGTCCTTGCTCAGTGTACTCTGCCTACATATCATAAAATTCCATCTACAGACTGCTACCTGTCCACGAAGTATAAAGTCGAAGATACACTTCATACGTTTGCGCTTCTGCATCCGTCGGACGTCAATTTTGTACGCCGTCGCTGCAGCTGCTACAAGTCCATCTTCCAAGATCTGCTCCGTGGTCTTTCCTTCCTAGTATTAACCAACCCCGTCGCTCTGCTCGTCTCGCTTGGTGTCCGGTTTCCCTCTCTTTGGTCGCCGCTTGGAACCCTACTTCGGCATCCGATTAGGTAATCCAGAACGCATTTTTATTGCGATTCGACTGAGTTCAATTGGAGTTTCTGCTTCGGTCGTCCAGAACTTGTCGGATTTTATTTCGTTTTTTTTTTCTTTTTCTCCTTTTCGATTGGGAGAACTCGTCGTTATCTGTCATCAGAAAAGTTCCAAATTTTAGGCAAGGAGGTGCTTTTTTTGTTGGAATGGACGGTGAGAGAGTGTTATCTTGAAGGGATTAGAGTATCGGCATAAAAAAGAGTAGGTGTTTGCTTCGTGCCCCTTAGTGTTCTCTCCATCTTCACCTCCTCCTCACGAGGCCGATAACGAGAGGAAGGGAAAGTAGAAAGGAGGAGCTAAGGGATGCAGCGAATAAATATGCCATTTTTCTGAATTTATAGTCGAAGATCATTAATTGAATCTGATTAAAAATGTTTACAAACTTCTCTCTGTCTTTACCTGTAATAAAGATTACTCTCATGCCTTAGCATTTGCTTTTTCATGTGTTTCTCAAATGGTATATATAACAAGTTCCTGGAAACGCAGCAGTTTTCCACCATGCGACGTTGGAGGCTGAATCGGAGCAGAGCTTCTTCTTCCACGCTAGTGCCTGTTGATGCGACTTTCACGATTGATGATGAGATATCTCAACTTACGAAGCTCCAATCGGGACCCTGTACAAGTAACCTTAAGGCTCTAAGGAGCTGCCGGAGAATGCCTATCCCCACAACTACAATGTTATTGGCAAGGGAAGCTAATTATTCTGGACAGGGAAGGTTCTCGTCAGCCGATTGCTCACATGTTCTTGGCCGGTACCTGCCTGTGAATTCTCCAAGTCAAATAGACAGGATGAACAGTGAAGCATATGTGTCGCAATTCTCCATTGATGGTTCACTTCTTGTTGCAGGATTTCAGGTATGCTTTGCTTGAGCGTTTAATGGGAGGTTAGTAAGAAATTCTTTTCCTGTTGCGGTTCCGGACTAGTGACTGGTTATGTCCATCTGTTTGTTAATTGAACAGGGGAGCCGTATTAGAATTTACAATGTTGACAATGGATGGAAAGTACAGAAAGATATAAATGCTCAGAGTTTGAGATGGACAATTACAGATACAGCTCTTTCACCTGACCAACGGCATCTTGTAAGTTTAGACCTGATCCCAGTGGAAACTGGCACATGGACCAATCTTAATCATGCCTAAAAGTCCTGACTGCATTTCAATACCTATTATCAAGCTGTTATGGGGCTGGATTGGGTTGATAGCTTCAGTCAGACCAGTTCAAACCAGCTCTGATTTATGTTTATTTTGGGTTTATGATCAGGCTTCCTTCAGCTTTCATTGAGCAGCACTGTGATTAAGAAAATAAGAGGAGAAGAGACTTGAGAATATTGTTAATAAATAAACTGTCTAAATGTCTTGGAACTCCAACTTGTGTATGCTAGACAGCAAGTACAAGGACTATATTAGAAACCAGATTTAGAACATCCTTTGTAAGAAACATCTATATTACCTTTCTCATAGGACACCTCATTTTTGTATGTTCTGTTATTGTACTTTGTTTTAAAAGCTAATGGTTATTTATCATCTGATTTTTTTCCTCTTTTTTGGCATGATGTCCTTCAGTAAGATTGATTTGTATATTTGAATCAAACTTGTTTTTTTCATTGTAGGTTTATTCTAGTCTCACACCACTTGTTCATATTGTTAATGTGCGGACCGGGATGACAGACTCACAAGCTAACATTACGGTTAGTGCTTTTTCTTCAAAATAGCATAACTTTAAACAACACTAACTTCTGTTGAGGTCTGCCATAAAGGACCATTCTGTGTGCATTCTGCAACTTGATGGATCGCCACCCAGTTTTAGATTATTCCTTATCTCATGTCATAAAATGATGCTTAGAATTTTGACATTTTTCAGCAAAATAAGATGCATGTGTTTCCTTGTAACTGACATACTAAGGAAGATAAAAGATTTTTTAGAATAGCAAACCATAAAAAGAAAAAGTATTCAATCAGAGAAAATTCTTGCACTCCTTTATATGAATTAATCCAAGGAGATATTTTATATGAGTAAATTTAATTACTTCTCTAGATGCAAAAATTTCATATTGCAGTATGCTGTAATCTAAGATATGCTTCCTGATGGTATTTATAATTTGCTGCTGCTTATATACTCTTATGGCACTTGTTATGATCATCTTTTGCTTAAAAACAGTAGATAGTTCTCATGTCAGTTAAAATGTCCATGTGTTTATGTAGATGATGCTTGACCTTTTTCCCTATGATTCCCTCTTCCTAGTATCACCTGATATTGATAGTTCCTTTTTCATACAGGAAATTCATGAACATTTGGATTTTTCTGTTGATGGCGACAGAGACTCCTTTAATATATTTTCCATAAAATTTTCAACCGATGGTCGAGAGCTTGTTGCTGGAGGCAGTGATGATTCAATATATGTGTATGACCTGGAGGCAAACAAGTTGGCAATGCGCATTATAGCTCACACCGTATGATTTTTTTTATTTGTTCTTCTAATTTTGTATTCCTTTCATTTACATTTCTCTTAATTTCCCCCTCAAGAAATAGATTAATATCCCTTGTTTGGACAATTAATGACCAAATTTCAGGTTTTACATTGTTGAACTCTATTACTGATTCTTCTGGAATATATTTTTTTTGTCTCTCTGTCATCTCAGGATGATGTAAATACAGTTTCATTTGCTGATGAAACTGGCCATGTCATGTTCTCCGGTAGTGATGATAATCTCTGCAAGGTAAGCTCCATGCTTCAACTATATGGTCTGCAGTAAGAACAACATTATTCAATGTTGATTGCAATGTTGGTGTCTATTCTTTTGTTCACAAAATGTTAATCTGCAAGGCTTTCCATTAGTTTTTCTAGTTGAAAGTGTCTAGTGAGTATACCTTAAAATTCCATGATAATTTAATAAATATCACATTAGGTGTTTGATGTGTTGCCCAATTATTTTGCCATCTGGCCAGCACTATTTTGCTCAGATGAGTATCTCATCAGATGAACTTACCTCTGTTAGAAGTTTATCTTCCATCTGCTTGGTTGATCATGAATCAGGATGTCATATAACTCAGGTTTGGGACAGACGATGCGTTGCAGCAACAGGAAATCCAGCAGGTTTTCTCGAAGGTCATCTAGAAGGCATTACGTTTATAGATAGCCGTGGGGATGGCCATTACTTCATTTCAAATAGTAAAGACCAGACTACCAAACTTTGGGACATTAGGAGAATGTCCTCCACTACTAAATCGTATGTGCTACTTCCTGTTATGAATAACTTTTCCTTTTATCTGACCATCTTGCAACTGGTTATATATTAGTCAAATATTGTCTTTGTGGTAGTTAGAACCAATTAAATCATTGCTTCGAAAGAAACGCTATTTGTATTAGGAGATATCGGAAAGTTATACCATGGTCATAATTAGAAGACATGCCAAATTATCTGAAATTTATTATGCTTGTCCTATGGGTGGTTCTGCCTTCGGCACTAGCTTAGGTTGTCGCTAGATTTTGCTGGCCCTTGTTTTTTACCTGTTGGTTCTAATGGGATGTAGATCCACACTATGCATCAAATGCCCAAGAATGGAGAAGATAGTAGGCCTTTTTTCTGAAGGTTCAGACCATATTCTTGCTTGGCTTTGATATATTTCTTCTGCATCAATTACAAAATATTCGATAGATGCATATTTTGTGCTTCCATGACTCTTTCATGCATTGTTTGACGTGGTTCTGTAAAATTTATAAAGTGATCATATTTATCCCTAAAAGAGGCAATTTAGGACTGATGTAAGAATGACATGCAAGATTGTTGATGCTCATAGGAACTCTCAGGTTCATGTCTAAGGAGTATAGCATGATACTTCTGCAGTGTAATTTATACCATTAATACTATTTACTTATAATTTAATATTTTGGTCAATTTATATGAACTGTGTTGAATTTACTTTACTATTGGTTTCCAAATCAAAGAATCAGGTCTGCTTCTGGATTTATATGTTTTATTTCACGTTACTCTTTTGGATGTCATTGATGGTTCTAGTGCTTCAAATGTAGTGATCCCCAGTTGTTGAGACATTGTTCTTTCTGTTATATGCAGCCGAACTCCGAGAACTTATTATGACTGGGACTATAGATGGATGGACTACCCAGCTGAAGCAAGGAATCAGAAGCACCCATGCGATCGGTCTGTAGCTACATATAAAGGGCATTCAGTCTTGCGCACTCTGATACGCTGTTACTTCTCCCCTACACACAGGTTGGTCTGCTATCCATTGTTCCGAAGCATCAGTTGATTTTGACATCAACTCACAGGACACACTCACAATCATTGAGATGCAAGGATTAGTACTCCAAAAATTTCCAGCATTTGTCTTTGCATTGGAAGTTTTGTAATATAAAAATTTTTGTTAGCTACTGTTCCGTTAGAAGTATACACATGGCTTACTTGTTTTACCATTTGTTACAGCACGGGTCAGAAGTACATCTATACAGGATCCTTCGACAAGTGTGTTTATATCTATGATGTGGTATGTAACTCGCTCAACTTCTTTCACCCTTGGTGTACTTATCTTCCATCTTTTTATTTAATTTTATTCACGGCTGTTAGTGAGGTATCTGAATCCAAACATCTTGCTGTGTAAAATCCCCAGCTACTCTTATCTAATAATCCATGTTGGTTTACAGATGCTCAAGCCAAAGTGTACATTAGTTTAACCCTTTGGTCTGGTTGCATTTCGCCACGCATTTAGAACACCCTGGCTTTCGACTAGAGTTAATTGTTCTTCGAACTTGACAATATAGTTTATACCATAAACAATGTTTCAGGTAACTGGAGCAAACGTTGCAAAACTCGCCTGGCACAACGATGCCATTAGAGATTGTAGCTGGCACCCCTATTACCCAGTGCTTGTCAGTTCTTCCTGGGACCATGCTGTCACCAGGTGGGAGTTCCCAGGCAGTCCTGCCGATTCCGCCGTGAAGAGGAAGACAAGCCAGAGGAGACGTGAAGGGCATCCGTGACAACAATCCGTTGTTTGGGCCTCACTTTATTTGTAAAGCAAATTGTGTATCGAATTTCGTCGCCTTGGTCTGTAAAAAGTTCTTCCCGTCATGGTGTATATCCACCAAAGTCTTAACTCTGATGAACATGCAGACATAAGATGTTAGAAACATTTCGATTGCTGATTTTTTATCCTGTCAGGAACGAATGGATCTGTGCATCAGATAATATGCCTTTCTGCAGCTTCTTCGCTGCCTGCTCACACGGCCTAAAGAAATGCAACGAGAGAGAGTTCCTAGTGTTTCATAAGTTGGCTGATGCATTGTCACGGTAAACCAGATCGAAACTGGGACCGAATTGGTTTCGGTTTAGTAGTAAGACTTCTCTGGGTAAGAAACAGAACAATCTCACGGTACACACCATCTCGTGTGAAGCTACAGCAGAAGTATCAGTTTATTCATTCAAATTGTGAGAAGCTGCAGCCCCCCGCCCCCAAAAAAAAAAGCTTCCGTACCTGTGTAACGGAACAAAAAAGTTCCCACAAAAGTTGTTCTCGAAGAACTGACAAAGCACATCGAAGCCTTCAACGACAATTGTCTTGTGAACACGAGGCGGCAAGGCGATAACCCGATACCGGGCGTCAGCGCTTGGCTGCATAGGCCAAAGAAATGGCAGCAAGTAAAGTAGCAGCAGCAGGGTAAAGCCAAGTCCGCATTCCACCCTTGTTCTTAGCCTCGGCCACGGCATCGCGCAAGAGCTCGAGCTCCTGGCTCATGTTATGGATCATCGCCATCTTCCTCCTGAAAGTCATCTTGAAGACCGCCAATTCCCTTGAAATATTCTCAGTAGTCTCATCCGAATCATAGTCGAGGCCATGTCGTTTGCGATTAGCATTTTCTTCCAAGTCCTCAATGGCAAAGGAGAGCTTCATGACACCGTTTATCAGATTGTAAGCCAGTTCATATTTCTCAGTAAGAGCTCTGGACCTTTCATCCAGGGACAGCCTTCGTCCGCTCGGTGAATAAAGATTCTTCTTCGAGTCCTTGTTCTCGGCCATAAGGCTCTTAGGAAACGCCTTCATCTCCCGGAGTTCACCGTGGTCATCATCCTTCTCCAGCTGCCCTCTTGGGCCATTGACTTCCGCCTTGTCAGGATCTAGGCCTCTGGGGTCGTTCTGAGATTGCAGCCGGGCGTTGCTTTCGGTGTTGGCTCCGCATAAATCCTGATGCGCAGAAAAACAACATGGACAATCTGCCATTTCATCCTCCTCCATGGCCCTCGATCCGTCGATTGCATCCTTCTCCTCTATAATCTTTTTCAATGAGTTCACCGTACTATCAACCTCCTTTACATGATCACCTATCTGCCCCTCATTGTCAAGCTGCAGTATCTTTTTCTCGTTTCCAGAAGAGTCAATCTCCATCGTTAACTTCTCTGCCTCCCCTGTAACCGTAGCATTCCTCTGGTTTGAGTCTCTCTCCAAGATTGCACGATCCAGAGCCTTCTTGAGGTAATCCTTCTCTCCAGTAACAAAACCCAAAGACTCACTGCTCTTCATGAGAGGCTCCTCTGCTAATCTCAACTTCTCTTCCAAAGCTATCTTTTCCTGCCCAGTGGCCTGAAGCTCTGACTCCCTTCCCTGAAGATTAGCGATCTCGGTCTCAAGAATACCTCTCTCTTCCCGAACCTCTTCCATCTTGCACTGGTCACTGCTGAGGATAAACCCTTTCGATTTATCCTCAAAGTCATGCTGCATCTTCACCATATTCTCATCGAAAGCATCAATTGAAACCTGAGACCCATCCGTCTTCTGAAGTGCCGTCGGCATCGCGTTCAGATCCCTTTTGCACGCGTCGCTCTCCAAGATCGCACGCTCCAAATCTTTCTCGATCTCACCCTTCTCTCCTTTAATCAACTGCAATTGATCATTAGCGCTTCGCGGAGCTTTTTTCATCGACCCAATCCTCTCCACCATGGAAGCGTTGTCGGCTTCCAGGGCTAGGATTTGAGCCTTCCGTTCTTCAAGATCCGACCGTAGCTTCGCGATTATCTCTCGACCGGTGCTCACTGCCATCACAACTTGAAGCTGCGTCTCCTCGAGTTTCAGTAGGGCCGAATTCCTATCCAAGATCGCCTCGTTCAAAGCCTGCTTGATCGAATTATCATCGCCCATGGCGGTCTCCAACTTCAAGCGCGAGATCAAGAGGTCGTTCTCCTTCTCCTTCTCCTTCGCCGCCGCCATCTCCGCGGCGAACTCGGCGAGGCGGGAGGAGATGACGAGGCGGGTAACGCCGCGCTCGAGGTCAGAAGCGAGGGAGAGGCGGTCGAGGCGGGCGTGGAGGTCGTTCACTTGCTTCCGCCGCATCATCATCTCATCGAGGAGGATCCGGTTGAGGGCCTTGAGGTTATCTGCATAGTTCGGTGATTTCTCCGCCGGCGGGGATGACGCGACGCCGCTGGTGGAGGACTTCTTGACCATCGTATCGGAGGGCAAGGTTCTTGAAAGGGCTTCGTGAGGGCTGAGCGGTTAGGGTTGGAAGGTACAGGAAGACTGAGAGAAGCAAGAAGAAGGCGAGCGGAGCCTCTTCGTTTATAGGAGGGGAGGAGGGAAGATGGGCCGTTGGCAGAAGTAGTTTGGGGATCCGCTATCATTTCCAGTTCAGGCTTCAGAAGGAAATCACGGTATCGAACTGACGGGTCCCATACCGAGAGCAACTTCCGAACGTGAGTTTCTGTGTCTCCTGCGTCGAGCTAGACAAATGATCCTCCTGTGATTAAAGAAAACCGCTTCTTCTTCGTACTCGCGGCTGAAACGGACGGTCGAGATTTGTCGATACAAGCGCTCCTACCGCCTCGTCTTCTCGCCCGAGCCGCTTTGATTGCCAACTCCTTGCGGGTATTTTATTTTATTTTCTTTCTCTTTTATTTTAATGGCGGGAATTCGTGCATTCATTAGGTTTGGTCATGTTTATATATTATATACGTGACAGTCATTTACATATTATATATTTTGCGGCACAAATGAATTATGCCTCATCATCCATCATGTGAGAGAAGCAGAGCAGTACGTGGGGATACGAAGGCCATGGCCATGTGAGCCGAATAATGAAGCCTTGTGTTTGTGAGACCGGCATCGCATGTTAAGTCCCCATCACGGTTGAGCGTGACAGTGTCATCAATGCATGGCTTCTCTTTCTTGGACGTGTGGGGCGATGGAGAAGAACAGTGCTTCGTTCCTATGGGGTGAATAAATGCAGATGGTGGACGTTTACACTGCATCGGGAGAATTCTTTGCTGCAAAGAGTAATCTTTTGATGATGTGTAGCTCACAGGATTCTCTCCTCCATCATGGAACCAAGGTAGCATCATAATTATTGATGCAAGAACGTGTCTCCTGCAATGGAGAATCTCTCTGACAAAGAAATCGCAGCTCCGTAGACCTCCCCACAGTCCAACCCACTCACAGCTGTGCCTGCGAAGCAAAGCAGAGTCATCACCTTTTCAACATCTCTGCATCTTTTAAGCTGACTTCGATACATTTCGAAGTTAGTGATACAGTCAAGAGTAGTCACTCAAGGCTGCAATGTCGCAGATTGCAGATTGAAGATTGCTTCCGTGGCATTTGTGTTCATGGATCGGTGACAGGGAGAAGAGATCCACTCTACCATTAATTTCTTTTGCGGGACGAGGATTTAACGGAAGAATCACCATCCGTTTCGATCAGCCCCTGTTCCTGATGGCAGCGCACTGTTCCGGCGGCCGCATCCTCTGCGGCCCGGCGTTGCGCGGGCACGCCGCGTTGACCGGCGGCACCATGCAGTTGTCCTGCAAGCACAGAGACATGCCCGCCGGAACGGAGGCTGCCGCGCCGCCGATCCCGAACCCCGTCAGGTAGTTGTGCTGCAAGTAGAGCACCCGCATGCGGCCCGCCACCACCCGGTCGACCAGCGCTGCCGGCAACTGCCCTGTGAAACGGTTGAAGTCCAGGTACAACCGGCCAGCCGGCGCCAGCTCCGCCGGTACGTTTCCCGTGAGTCGGTTGTAGCTCAGGTCGACCGTGGCCCCCTCTACCGGCAGTGGGCTGGCCGGCCGGAGCGGACCCGAGAACTGGTTCCTCTGCAGCCGCAGAGTCGAGACGGGGAAGGTGAAGAGGACTCCCGGGAGCGGGCCGGAGAGGTGGTTCATGCATAGGTCGAGGAACTGGAGCCGGGTGAGCCGGGGGAGCACCCGGTCCACCCACCCGGAGAGCCGGTTAGAGGCGAGGGAGAGGTAGACGAGGGACGGGGGCAGGAAGGGGACGGAGCCGGTGAGGGCGTTACTCCTGAGGTCGAGGCGGAGGAGAGGAGCGGAGGCGACAGCGGGGACGGGGCCAGAGAGGCGGTTGTGGGCGAGGATGAGGGTCCGGAGCTCCGGAAGGCGGAAGATGGCGGGGGGAACAGAGCCGGAGAGGCGGTTGGAGCTTAGGTCGAGGGTGCGGAGGCGGCGGAGGGCGGAGAGGGAGGGGGGCAGGGAGCCGGAGAGGAGGTTACCGGAGAGGGCGAGGAAGCGGAGGCTGGAAGGGAGGGAAGCAGGGAGGGGACCAGCGACGCGGCCGGGGACAAGGGAGAGCTCAGCGAGGGCGGAGAGGCGGATGAGGGAGGAGGGCAGGTGGCCAGTGAGACCCGGGGAGCCAGCGCGGGGGTCGCCGAGGGAGAGGGCGACGACGCGGTCGCGGGAGCAGAGCACGCCGGCGAAGGCGCAGGGTTCAGCGGTGAAGTCCCAGCTGGCGAAGAAGGCGGAGCCCGGGAGGTCGGCCAGCGACTGGCGGAGCGACTGCAGCACCAAGTAGTCCACCGGGTGCAGGATGCCGGAGGCGGGAACGAAGAAGACAGCACACAGCAACACTGCAACCTCCGCCTCAAGCCTCGGCATGGCAACCAAGTCACAGCAGAGTAAAGATGGCAAAGGAGGAAGAAAGAGAGAGGGTGGGGTGGGGTGGGCTTTAACTTCAGGTGGAGATGGTGGGGGAGGCCATATGAAGAAGGGTTAGTAGATTGGGAGTGGGACAGCGGGTGTAATGAATTGGAGAGAGGCTTGTAGGAGAAGGTTGGTGGTGGCAGCTTTCGCTCGATTGCATGCACACTTGCTTCAGCGGTGGGGTCGTGTGTGCTTCTTTGGCCATCATTTTGGCTTGGGGAGGAAGGTGGCGAGACTGTTCAACACCTACTGGTATATCTGAGAGGGCCCTTCTTCCTTCTTTTGCTTCTTTTAAGGTCTCCTTGATTTGATGTCTTAGTAGCCTCCTGCCCAAAGGAATCTTACATAACAATCCATTGACGTGCAGAACGAACCTGTGAAATGGGAACGTCCCCAAAGAGTCTTATAGTGTATGGGACGATTTATGGTGGGAGTGGCACGACAATACCATGAAATTAAACAGATATATTGGCAGTGCTTCCGATGCAACTCGCACCAAACGGACCTGAGAGAATGGTAGGTGAGGGGTTTGGGCGTCGGTCGGTGTCGGCCTCGGCGGACTCGCCGTGCGTCGTGTTGCTTGGTGTCCTTTCTTGGTGTTCCGGGAGAGCGGACGGCGAGTGAGTCATGGACATCACACGTTTCTTGGTGTCCTTTTCTATGGTTTCTCCTCCCTCGCTCAAGCACCACCTGCATTTATGGGCTTGCAAGTATTAGAGACGTCCAAGTTAGAACTCTTTAGCAAGTGATTAGAACATTCAAAGAACTTACTGAAGAGTTCTAACTTGGATTATGTATATAAACATTTTCCTCGTGTTCAACATTTTATGAAAAGAACTAAAAGCTGCAAACTCTGTGATGTCTCAATATCAAGGAAAAAGCAAAGCGGATGTTCCCATGTAGATTGACCAAAGTTCATCGACTCCACAAGATGATGCATTAACAACACTGAGAAGAAACACCATCAGGAGCTACAAGTCCAACATAGGAGTGTGTATAAAGCTCAGAATTCACTGTGATGTTTAGTATACCTTATTTATTTCCAAATCATGAATCATGGTGTTATGAAACTTTCACAGAGATCATATTCATGCTAACGGTCTGCCAAGCGAACCGAAACCCTTCGCTGAATGGGAGTCCTACAAGAAGGGCAGTCTTTCATGGCCTGCTTTTCATGGAGCTCATTGCATTTGGTGCAAACAACTTGGTGGGCACAGGGAAGGAAAACAACAGACATCTCCTCGGATAAGCACATGACGCATTCCCTTTCACGTTGTAGTTCTTCAGATGCCGAATCCTGGGAGTCCATTATGTCGGCCAAAATATTGGCATTGATGTTCTTGCTTCCACCCAAAAGGCGGCACGCATAGGTTCTTTCTGTTCCCCACCTCGGAGCAGCAAGAATAGACAAGTTGGTGACTTGCCTTACTTGCGCAATCTGCTGCTCAAGCCTGCGAATATCGCTTTTGCATCTTTGCAAATCATTTTCTGCTTTCAATCTTAATGCATTTTCCTGTGATTTTGCTGAAGTCTCAATCTGCTCCCACTCGTTTCTTTCAGCACTGATCTCTGCAAGTGCCTCATTCTTCATCTTTTCTTCTTGCCTCCACCTAGCCTGCAAGTTCACCATGAGGTATAACTAAAGGAGCAATTATTGAAGTAAGCATTGCAAAGGAAGTATACAGCTTAATATAAAACGAACAATAAGAATCATTAGAGAAACATGAGAAGAAAGTAGCAAATTTTCACAAATTCCAGTGAATTGAGTACAAATTCCAGAGAGTACAAAAATGAAGGTACAACCACATTTGGTGATTTGACTAACCTAAGTCTAGACAATGAAGCTGCAACTTCTTTTCAGCAGACCTTGTCCTCCAGCTTCCTAGTAACCATATAACAACCCTTCTCCCTCACCCGGGAACCATGACCATGTTACTTGAGATATTCCCAAAGGGCCCAACAACCCCCCTAAAGCACCCTACCAGGATGCTCCGACTTGTTCCCACATGTTAGGAAGCCTGCTCAAATAAAATATACCGAGTTTCCACTGATACAAATAAGCAAACACTGTTCCAAGATGAGTCAGTCCTCTGGTGAAGTTGCTCCTTTGAAACTGATGGCTAGGGTTCAATTCACAACTATCGTCTCTGTACTTGTAAATTGAGTTGCCTATACTGATCCTCTCAAAACCCTACATTGAAGGAACCTCATTCATTGTGCCATACATCTTTTAGTGGTTCGTCACTCAGTTTCCAGTACCTGGTCAGTCCTACTCAAGGTGGATATCAACCCACTTTACGTTAAATTTTCACCTCTTCCTATGGAGCAATTCTAACAAGCAATGTACTCACTTGGCAACCAAAGTCTAGCCATAGAGCAACAACTTTTTTTCCTCCACTACTAATATTTTTAGATACCTTTTGACAACTTCAATATGTCTCTAAGTCTCAGTTCAGATGCATATCTAAATCAATTGTTTGATTGCCTATAGTCATGTAAAAAATTGGAAAATTACTTTTAAGTTTTCAATTATTTGGGATTGGCTACATTAAATTCTTCTTTAGACAACATATTACAAAATTAAGAGCCATCAATCTCTCTTTATTTTTCCTAATAGAATTTCAGTCTTCCTTACCTCTCCATGTGGTACCAATTTAAACCTTCCCATTAGCACTAGCATGTCAAATTGCATGGTAGTTGTAGCTTAAATGCCACCAACTACCATTCCCAATGTCTTCTCAATCACCAAATCATTATTGTCATGCATTCCAACCATTGGCACCTCTCTAACAATCCAGCCTGGCCCTCTCTAACCATCCACCCTGACCACTGCTACCCTCCCATTGCACGTCACTCTTCTTGCCATCCACCCAAGTACAAATTACTTGCAATTGACAATTACAAATGCAAACAAACCAAATCCTTGTGTTGCATTTCGAGACATCACATTTCTAATTATAATGAGTTTATAATTGCCAATGAAACTAACTACAAAAAATCAATCATCTCCCTAGACAATAGCCAATTGTAGTAGCAAGACCAATTTGTATAGCAAGAGAACAGATGAAACTATAATTGAAAGACTAGCTGAATAATAGTTTGGACTCTTTTCAACAACATTCATTTTGCAAAGATATTAATCTTACCATGTAACTGTTCATATCCAAGTTTGATGGTACTTATCTGGCTTACCTGGTCCTCATAGTGCTCTAGTCATACTTCATCTAATTCTTTTGCTGCAACCAAGGATACAAATGCATTTGCAAAAAAAACTACAGATACAGAATTTAAATGGCATGCCTATCCTAATTGAAACCTTAAAGTATATGTCCTCGAGAGAATGACTGTGCAAGCCCTATCACTGGTCAAAGAACTTCTCATTATGCATCACATGCACTTCACGCTTGAAAAAATCCATGAGGTACTAGTGAAAGCGAGTTTACCTCGGATTGATCTTGAAGTTCCTTGACTTGTTCAAGTTGCTGCTGCAGCTGAGAAAGCTGATGCTTTTCATTTGCAAGCTCCTCTTGAAACATTATTTGCTGTTTTTCCCATGACTGGAACATTTTAAGAGTCTTCATCTCCCTTCTTGAAGCTTCTTGACAATTTGCCTCTGATTGTGCTGCATGTAGTTTTGCAGCTTCCATTCCAAGCCTTAGCTGTGTATTCTCAAATTCAAGCCTGCGGGCAGCAGCATTAGCCCTTTCAACCTGCGCACTTGCCTTTGATATTGCAAGTTCCATCTCAGCAAGCTTCTTCCTGGTATTCTCTTCTAGAGTTTGCCTCTCTTTCTGGAGACAGGCTGCTTCTTCTTTTTCTTGTCTCAGAATTTGGAGCTCAACCTTCTCCTTGCTCAGCCTTCGGGCAGCCTGCATCACCTTTTCCTGGGCCCAGTCAGACCAATCTTGCAGCTGCACCTGGAGTTCACGCATCAGGGGAACTAATATGAGCAGCATTTCATCCTTCTTGTCCTCTGGGATCCAATCTCTAAACGTTGTGCCAGAATGGATCATGCCATTACTGCTGCAATTTGGAGCATCAACATTAGACTCTTGTGTAGGACTAAGAGCAATGCTGCTTCCTGAAGACAGTGATAGAGAGAGTTCAGTGTCTGTAGTAGGTGTCATTGATCTGCTGGTAACTTCTTTTCTGCCGCCTGTGGGGCTAGATGAGTATCCATGACTAAAAGAAAGGTTAAGGTTAGCATCTGCAAATGATTTCTCAGTTCCTGTAGCTTCCCCTGGCTTCAATGAGGAGCTCTTCAAACTTATGCTTGTAGCATCTGAGATTTGTTTGCATTTCCTATCCATGATTAAGCTACCCGAGCCACTTTGTCTACATGCTCTCGAAACCGCTTTAGTTCCCAATGGTCGATAGCTCTTCTCAACATGGACTGACCTGTGTTGGACAGTTCCTCTTTTGGAACAACCTACATGGACCTTTTTACCACTAACTGATTTCTCTTCTTGAGGAGACCGAGAAACTATTGAAGAAGAAGATTCTCCAACATGGTTCGATGAAGAAATCAAACTTTCTTTCATAGCTTTAGGTTTTGAAACCAGGTCATTCTCATTAGAGGCTGAGAACTTTCCATGAGGTAGACTTGGGATCACCATCATCTTTCCAGGTTCAGATTGCTGGGCAATATCAGAACAAGGTATGACTCCTCGAACATTACTTTTAGAACTTACTGGAATAGTGTCATTGGACTCTGACCCTGATTCTAACTTTGCGGCAACAGAAGTGCCCAAGTACTCATCACTAATGACAGCGTTTGATGAACTGCTGTCCATTGCACAAGCTTGGGTAACATTAGCATCGGACATCAGTAAGCACCATAAGGCCTCACCTGTACTAATAAATGGTCGAACCCCTCTAAGCACACTAATCATCTCCGCCAACACCCTCTTCTCCAACTCCTTTAAATTCTTGGAAATGTTCTCTTTGGAAGAGGAATCCACCTGTTGTCCTCTCCTCAGCAATGCCAATGCATTGTCCACAACATTAGATACGGTATCCTTATAGCCGTAACAGAGCCCTGAGCTCAATACAGCACTCGTTGCAACTTCCTTAGTGTACCCATGAGAAGTTATCATCTTAATTGCGGTCATAAAGACCACATCCAAGTTATCAAGCAAGATTTCCTCAAGCTGGGATTCTGTGAGGCAACTCCAATCAACATCTTGGAATTCATCCAACTCTGGTCCCTCTTTGAACCCAAACATATGAGTCCTACACATATCACACTCGCCCTCATGGTGTTCGAGGCTGGGAATCTCGGAGGTTTGCTCTGCGGGGAACAAATCGAAATTCGGCAACTCTGTTTGCAATGCATCGGCTAGCGCATTTGAGTCCACCAGCGGCAGATCAGCATGGAATTTTCTCTTGTTCCTGCTTCCTGCTTCTTGGATAGCAAAAGATGGATTCAGAGAACTACTATCACCAGCAACCACTGTCGCCATTCCAACTACGAATTCCTCCTCGATCGATCTCTGTCTATAACTAACGAATGCAGAACCAAATTACGGGATTCGAAGAAGAAGTTTCATGTAATCAAATCTACAAATATAACAAATGAAGAGAAGTGGTAGCGGGGGATCAAACCTTACCAATTTGAGGAATAAAGATTATATTTTTATTTTCCTGCATCAAACAAAGTCGAATTCATCAGACAACAAGAATAAGAGAAAACCCAACACGCGCCAATAAAACAAAACGGCATCAAAACAAAGAAAGACGCCTAATTCCTACACAAACAGACCAAGACGGGACTCGGAGCAGGAACTGACATAATCCTTGCACGCATGCAAGGAACCAGAAGGTAATCAAATCAATTGAAGGGTTCCCGTGAAAGAGGACAGATCGAAGGAGGCGAAAACAATTGGGGAAGAGAGATGAGAGGGATTCGGGCCGGTCGATAGGCTCGGGACGTGGGAGAGATCGATCGGCACCCACCGGATTGGAGATTACGGCAAAAAGGATCGATCGCGGCGTTGACCAGGGTTCCTGTGATGGATTTGGGGGCGCCGAAGGCCGACGATGAGGAGCTCTTTATTTCTTCTGCCTCCGCTTGGAGAAAGAGTGAGAGATATCGAGAGAAACCTTTTCTTAATGCTTTTCCATATATATA